TGAACAGAGGCAATTCGGAACAAACTCACTTGCCTAAGCCTAAGGTGAGACCACATGTTTCACATACGCTTCGTTGTGGGGCAGGACTGACATCCTAGAAAATCTCAGGAGTCAAGCTGCCAAACACGGTCACCCATCCAAGGACTCTCCGATGCTCCTGCTGTTGATCACTGCTCATTGTTGGAATAATGCTGAGTGGGGCGTCAAACAACAACCCAACCCCAACCCTGTCAGGTATGGCCAGTCCTTGAGTAGATAAAACATCCAAAGTACTGATGACTTCGATCAGTTTGTTTTAAGTTAATTTATCTTGTTGCTTTATATCTATTATGAAAGGATTATTATTCCTTACAAATGTTACATAATTGACAACATGACGTAACTGTTGTGATGTAATTTCCAAATTGAAAGGCAGAGGTTAACCTAATATAAACTGTGCTATCAGTAAATGACCACACAAGATCAATGGAAATCAATAATATATTTCAATGAAACACTTACATGTAGTTTAATTACTATAATAACTATCTAAAACAATGGGAAGCAGTAGAAATATTGCTAGTGCACTCACGAATTTCGAGAATATCTTTATTTTTAATAAAGATTCAAATACTATGTTTTCAAATAGATATATCTCCTCGTGGCGATCCAGGTTAGAATTGGTCTTCAGCAAACCATCTTTGTTGTAAGAGGCGACTAACGGGATCGGGTGGTCGGGCTCGCTGACTTGGTTGACACATGTCTTCGTATCCCGATTGCGTAGATCGATGTTCAAGCTGTCGTTCACTGGATTGTCTGGTCCAGACTCGATTATTTACAGACCGGAGTATTGATGGAGTTGGATTATTGTTATAGCTGGAGCATTGTTGATTGCGGCGTAAAACAACAAACACAAAAGTCAAATACGAGTAGATATCCAAACAGACGTTTTTCCCTTTACACCAAACGGAATTTGTTCCTGGTGATAGTCAAGTCTGTGTAATCAATTTCTATTTAGTTAGCAATATGTTGTGTCTGTTCATGCGAGGCTTGCGACTTCGTAAGTGTCAGTGTTAGTTTGCTTGTCCCTCTTGAGATGAAGTGTCATATAACCTTTGTATATTCCTCAATATCTTTGGAGTTTGTGATTATTTTTGTTTTTCAAACAGGCTTTAGGAGTATCCATACACCTTTTGTAATTATTCACAGTCTATTATAATTTATACCAAAATTAAACACAGTTCCAGTTACAGTCAACACGTGTTCTTTCACATCCAATGTTTTTATCGTTGTTGGTTGTCTGTGAATTATTCCGTGTCGTGTCCGTTCACTTCTCAAAGGGATAGAAGGGATGATCTTTCCACCTGAAACACATACATTAATGCCACAATTGATAGGACGAAGGAGGGACGTTCACAAACCATATTCTTAAACGTATGTGTTCGTGTTGGCGCTGTGTTGTAACGTATATGATGGTTGTTTGGAAACTGATAGCAGCAAGACACTTTGTGTGATGCCCTGTTCGATCCCAGTACGCTCCAGTTAATAAATATAGTTCTGTTTCAGCACCTTACATGTTCCTGAAGCTTTCATCAAAGTGGCATGGGTGTGAAACCTCGTGACCATCAGTTACATCCCCCCCCCCCTCCCCTCCACACACACACCTCTACTCCACTGCCTTCCCCCGTATCAAAACGACATTGGCTGGAATACTGTTCAAAGCAGCGTAAACACAGACCACTCTGAATTTAGAGATGAATTTCAGTGAAGTACCGATTCTAGTACTATTGTTAGGTTAGGTGGAAGCTACGGTGGCTGAGTGGGTTGGATGTTGACTTTGTGCGCTGGTTATTAGGCGCCTGTCTCTGAGAGTGTGGGTTCGAATCTCGGATGGGCCTCAACCTAACAGTAGTAGAAACGGTACTTCACTGCGAACGTGTAATCCCAAAGATAACACGTGTCACATGTGTATTGTTGTCTATGACCCTTCACTGGTGACGTATGAAAATGTGTTTACTGGAGTATAGAAAGGTTGACTCTTAGGCCTCGGTCCAAAGCGAACATTGTCTTCATATCCTCCTCGCTGAGCTCAAAGTCAAATATCTGAAACAAGGAGATACGTAAAACCATTGCAAACAAAAAACATATTCCACATGCTATTTACATATATGTGAAGAGTTTCGCATCATTTCGCCGTCTTTCCATATGCAGCTAAATACATTCATATAAGCAACGTTTAGCAATATTCCAACAATATCACGGCGGGGGATACCAGAACGTTGTACCAATGTGGGGAATCGAACTCAGGTCTTCGGTGTGACGCGCGAACGCTTTAACCACTAGGCAACCCCCGCCACCCAAGAAATGTGTGTAACGAACTGTGTTTGTAACGAACTAAAATGAGTGGTCCCTCGTTGTAACCGTATGTTACTGTAGCTTTGAGATAACTTTTTTTCAATTGTCTGAGCTGTGTGCTCTGATGAGAACATTTACTTTGCGACAATCATATAAAATACAAGGCTAAAGCACAGGTTCCTTTGAAGCACTCACATCCATGTTCTGGGCCAGACGAGATGGATTCGTACTCTTAGGAACTATAGCATAGCCTCGCGCTGTATGCCCCATCTGAGGATCACCTGAGAAAACACAGGGTCAGTATAAATAGACATCTTAAGAAAGCATCTACAAGGACAATTCATACATCGTACAACAATATCTCAGAGTTCGGAGCTACTGTTTTCCTGGAAAAAATATTTAGCATTCTTATTGGCTGGCACAGTTCCAAATCAATGTTGGTGTATTCAAACTTCGATGAACTTAATAATGACACATTCTGGCAAAATGCAAGAGGATCTGTGTATTAACCACACTTGCATTATTCCACTCCCTATTTTTTGTAGAGTCGCCGTTTCCAGTAGGGGCAACACATAGGATATACATATCAGAGCGTTATATATATTTAGCTGAACGAAATTTTCATAGAAGATTTCTATGAGCTTCATACCACTTTTGTTGAAAGGTTATTTGTTTACAATTACAACATTCACGAGCTACAAAAAGGTTTATTGATGGAAATCGCACGCATCAAAATATTGGCACTATTGTGTCTAATGTTATTCCCGATTCTAATTAGTATGATATGTTCCAATTTTCAGATAAGCAATTGACATGACCTTGCATGTATTTGTGACGGATTTCACAGGATTGGCTGAATAAGCTCACCTTTTTGCGAAGACCAGGCTATCATCACTATGTGATTCATAAATACCTGTACGCGATATCGCCAGATGTCTGTTGAATGCAGAAAGGGTTTTGTGGCTTCTATTTAACTCTGGCGTATCATTTAAACCTTATGTAGATTATATGAGGGACATATATTTTCAGGGACATGTTCATTAGAATATTACACAGTTTATATTCATTAGCGAGGCATCGAACAATCAGGAATACAACACTGAACGGTCTGATAGCAAGTTACCATGGTCTGTCTACAATATATATATTTCAAGTTACAATCGTGGTGAAAATTAACTATCGGGATTGTTTTCCCTTTACACCAAATGGAATCCGTTTATGAGGTTCAAGATTGTGAACTCCTCTTCATTGGCGCTTTCTGATAAGTCTTTCTATTTCCACCTGGTGCTATTTACAAATGTATAACCAAACAATATGCCTGTAAATGTATATGTTTAAACCAGACTACTTGGTGTCTGGTTTCTAAAGCTTATTATATAATATCATTTAGAGAATAATAAGGTATGATTAAGATGTTTGCTTGTTTTGTTTGTTTTTTGCTTATTAGTTGTTTAACGCCACACTCAGCAATATCCCACCTATATCGCTTATATGTCTGTAGAAATTCGAATCTGGACCAGACATTCGCGTTATCATCAATATGAGCATCGATCTACGCAATTGGTATACGATGACAAGTGCCAACCAAGTCAGCGAGCCTAATCATCTGATCCCGTTAGTTGCCTCGTACGACAAGCATGGGTTACTGAAGACCAATTCTAACCCGGATCTTCACGGGTCTATTTATGCATGTGTGAGTCTTTAGCATATTGTCTACATGATAGTGTACCTGAGCTGAAGACTTGCCATATTTTTTCCGATGTCAACAATGGTTGGAATTTCAAGGAACTTTGGTGCATCCTCCTGTACACTGAAAAATACCAAGATCAACGTCATCAATGAACTCCAGTCCATCTGAAATCGACATTAATTTAACTGTTATGTGAAGCTATATATTCTGAAAACATTTCGGAAGATGTTTGTTGAAGCAAAATATAGCGCTCGTAAAATATATTGGACCTATAAGGGCTTCGAACTGAGTTGTGTTATCAACATGCTCAGTTTGGAGGGATACCCATCCTAAATGGCGACTTGTTTCCTGTTTGCACCACCGTTTCCAGGATTCAAAAGTAGAGTACGTGTCTTATTTAAGACTGTCACATTGCTAGACATTCATGAATGCTGTAATGTGTGTATCTGGGAACGTGCGTGTGAGAAATGGGGGTAAGGGAGAAGTGTCTGTGTGGGTATCTCTGTGTGTGTGTGTGTGTGTGTGCGCGTGTACGTGTGTGTACGTACGTGTGTCTGTGTTACATATTCACTTATCTCTAATAGTGTTTTACACAATTTAGTTCTATGAGGACAATTTTTATAGACATACACCTTCTTTATTCTGTACAGGCGACGTTTCGACGTTTTCGTCACCATTGCACTTCCTTGACAACGACATTAGAATATATGTCGAAACGTCGCCTATACAGAATAAAGAAGGTGTATATCCATAAAAATTGTCCTCATTCTTCATCTCCTCAACTTCTAGAATGCCAATCAAAGACATTTAGTTCTATACGTTCCGGGTTTACCTTTATTTCAACCTGAGAGTCTGCAGGCCACAACTTTCAATGTTCTCCGCTTCATTCTTAAACGTATTGCGCCACGTGTTGTGGGTCAAAGTGTTTCAGAAGTTCGCCAGAATGGTTTTGCAAAAGCGCCATAAAAGAACTTACTAGTTCTGTCCCGGTGCCCCGAACGGACCATAGGCAGTAGTTGAGATGCCGTTCTTGAGGGAGAACTGCAGAAGGTCTTCCTGGGCCAGATATGGAGTTATCTCCACCTGAAAGCAAGCAACGTTGTCAACACCTGGAAAGGTACGTATTCCGCTTAAAAAACTGTCACGGAAGAAAGCCTGAAGTAAAATTTGGGGTGTTTTGTCTACAGTGATTGTGATGATAAACATTAAAAAAAGGGTCGAATTGGCTTTTATACCTACGATTAAAGATGTTTGGTGTGCCAAAGGGACGCAAATCTGAGAATCGCAGAACAAAATGTTTAAAGTGAGTGAGGTATACTTTACGCTCTGCACAGTATTACAGTTATATCACGGCGAGTCAGGTTGGTGTTACAGGAAACCTGCGAGCACTGGTATGGTACTGTCAACGCGTGGTGTTACGCGTCGATTGGGGAATTAGCTCATAATTAAGATGAAGTGTGCGTTGATGAAGATGAAGGCATAGTTGAGTTCAAACTTCTTTAGTGACATGACAAACAAATAGATATGACATATATGAGGTGAGCGGAGCAATACCGGACTCGTACTCCTTCACTGTCTAGATGTGAGCATACTAAATATATATACAGTTTTTGACAACAATTGACAGGCGACGACTCATCAATGGACAGACAGAAAAACAATAGCACTTCCTTGACCAGTTGATGTGATGGCAGACACGGCCAAGGGGATTACCAATGAAGGTTATAAATGTCTTATACAATAATTAATGGGCTGACAAGTCAATTTACAATGCGGTAGTGATAAGGATGTACAGTAGTGATTGAAAATACAGCTTAGCGTCATTTATATATTACAATAAAGTCTCACATGTCTTGAGTACATAGTTTTGGACTTTTTAAATATTTGGACGATGGCTGTCCTAAATTAGTCACTATAACAGTACTGACAAACTAGCACACATACTAACGTCGAAAGCACTCGTTGCACTGACTTAGTTGCAATATAGGATTATTCATAATATTCTTCCTCCGAACTGCTTCTTAGGATAAAGATATCGGAATCACCCCTTTGCTGTTTTTGTAATAACGACTTAGAAACTTTAGAACACCCGTTTGGGTATTGTGATCCGGTATTCACAATTTGGAAAAGTTTAGACAAATGGTTCGAAACAGCTCAAATTTACATTAATTTCACAATTTCAAAGATAATGCTCGGAATCAAAGGAAGAAATAACAATCCCAATACCGCCATTTTCTCACTTGTTAAAGACATTATATTAAAATACAGTCAAAAAATGAAGATTCCGAATTTCGGGTACTAGTATATAGTAAGTCAAATTCAGCAGTACTACGACATTGCAAAATATATTTATTTAGTTTCTGGACAAAACGATATATTTGTTAAATTCTTGTCATCATTACATACTATTTTGAAAAGTTGATTTATGTATCGCTTCCTCATTGCTTGTACATGTAAAAGGTCACTGTAGTTTATGTACCTCAAATATGCCAAATTGTGCATATATACTGTTGTAAACGACAAATCGAACTGTACATTTGCAAACATGAAAATAATATATATATATATACATATGTGTGTGTGTGTGTGTGTGTGTGTGTGTGTGTGTGTGTGTGTGTGTGTACGGCGTATCCGTAGTGTCATTTTACATCAAATAAGTACCTACCTGGTTATTCGCAGGCTTGTACTTGAGACCGTCCATTTTGAGAATCCTCTCCAGCTGTTGTTTATTGAAGTTGGAGACGCCGATAGACCTGACAAGGCCCTTGTCCACGAGCTTCTCCATGGCCTGTTGGGGACGAAAGTGATATCAGCTAGTTTTATACTGAGATTCTTTGAAAATAGATGCATTATACAAATGTGATCGTACCTCTTGAGATCAAGGACATATCTCTGTTATCTTTATCAGAGTGCTCTTGGCAGACCGATTGGGATTTTCTTAGGCTTATTCTTTCTCATATTTTATTAATGTATTCTCAACATGGTGTTTAATAGGTTTGCCCATCATGAAGGCTAGTGTTCGTCTCCCCTCACGTGATAAACTTCAACGTCATAATATTCCCCTAACATTCTTAAAATCGACCTAAAACCATATTTGCTATCCGCTCTTGTTTGTCTTTACATTTTGTCTTTGTGTTGCACATGCTCAGAAAGTAAACGATAGCATTTTCTATGAATCTGCAGCGAACGAAACGTTGATATAATATTTATTATGCACATTTTAATATAACACACATGACACACGACAACCGTGTTTAGGGGGTGGGGTCTTCTAATTAATAAATGTCATGTGTTGTGTGTTCCCAAAAGTGATTGGACCCTCGACTCGGAATATTACATGCTCAACTGTCTAAGGGGAAATAGGGTTTAACGTCGTACTAAAGAATAGTTCGTTTCTATGACGATGTGCATGCGTGTGTATGTGTGGCTGCTTGTAGTAGCCCAGGCTTAAGCTGGTTTTATAGTGCCAGCCCACTGAGATACCATGCCGCAGCATGACAGTCTAAGTAAACTTAGGCTCAGTATTATTCGTTACACTGCTATACTGAGTCTAACAAAACCTAATAGAAGGTCGCGTCAGCTAACCTTTCGGACTGACCAATCAGAACACAGCTTTCCAAATCGCGATTGGTCAGTCCAAAAGGTTAGCGTGACGCGATCTTCTACTAGGTTTTGTTCGATTCATTATAGCAGTATAACGAATAATACTAAGCCTAAGTTTACTTAGACTGCGCAGCATGAATACCCCAGTCAGACACAATATACTGACTCCGAGCCGACCAGTCCTCGTTTTACCCATTAATGCCGAGCGCCAGGCAGGGAACAACAAGTACCATATTTTAACGTCGCGGGCGGGGATCGAACCCGCGACCATCCGCTCTCCGGGCAGACGCTCTAACCACTACACCACGGTGGCGGCTCTCAACTGTCTTAAGTTATGATAATTAAATCGATAGGCTTTTTGTCACCAGAACAACTTCAAAACCATATAAAATGAGCAATTTAAGTGACGACGTTGGAGCCATTTCACGAATGCCTAAAATTATATGTATTTGCAGTTTTATTAATTTACAATATGTTCTGCTCAGAGCTTGTCTTTGCAACTGACTGATATTTGTTATGATGTGCAGATATGATTTTCTACATGCTTTATTTTCTGTGGGGCGTACCATGTTTGCACGTATCGTTTAACAGTGTTTACACCATGGAGGCGTTAACGGGAGGCTACCTACTCTCCATGTGTCCAGGTAGTCCGTCGCGGTCGGCTTGGTCCGCTCAAAGTCCTAGGGAAATAATAATATGTAGTCACACACACGTCTAGATAATTTGTTATAAAATCAGAATCTGGTTACGGCATTAAACATGTCAAGAATATATACTCTATACAGTATGGAACAGTCTTAATAAACGTCTTCTTCAAAGATGGTACTTTCATCAATGAGGATGATGCAACTAAAACCTACGTATAATATACTTTCACCCAGATATTAAGTATACATATCTATCTGGAAGAACATATCATCCAACATAACAATATTTTTATGTAAACGCTTGGTAAACTGAGGTTTGACTTCAACCTTGACGTGTCTTCACTTGGGTAATGTCTAAACATTAAATAACAAGTTCATTTTAATGTACTGAGTGTCTATTTCAATGCCGACATTTTGACAATTTGAAATGTATCAATAAGTCGTGAAAGTACAGAAAAGCCAATGAAAATATACTGAGTCAAAAAAGAAACTTCACAAAATGTAATTTGAAAAATAATGAATAATTTTTCTCTGATGACACATCTATGTATCCGAAATGGGATTCCTATCTTTCGACTCTAGAAAAACGTTAGCAAAACCCACTCAAACCCATCCATTCGTCGTGCAAATGACGTTAGTGCCAAATCAGGTTTTGCACGTGCAGTCGATCACGTGATCATCGAAGTTTTCTTCATATGCACGTGTTTGCATTGGCCTCAAGAATTGAAAAAACACTTTTAAACCACAGTTCTAACGGTACTTGAAATGCCACGATTGTCAAATGTGCAACGTGAACGTGCCGTTGGCATGTTGCAAGCGGGAAGATCAGTTATTGACGTCGCAAGAGCAATGGGATGCAGCCGTCGTACTCTGTATGACTTGCAAGGTCGTCTACAACAAACTGGCACCACTTCTGATCGCCCAAGGTCGGGTCGTCTACGTGTGACGTCACGAGCAGAAGACCGTCAAATCGTCCTACGCCACCTACGTGACAGATTTCTGCCGGCTACACGAACCAGGGCTGAGATGTTTAGAAGTCGACTGTCCTCACAGACCATTCGAAATCGGTTGCGGGCTGCCAATCTCCATTCTCGACGTCCATATCGTGGGCCAATATTGACGCCGTTTCATCAACGTCAACGTCTGCTGTGGGCCCAACGTCACCTCCGATTGGCCCAGAGAGACTGAAATCGAGTCGTCTTTAGCGATGAATCAAGGTTTACCCTCAGATTCGCGGAAACGTGGACGTGGAAACCTCACAGCTGCTGCTTACCGCGACCAGGTGCTCACCCCTGAACTCGTTCCTTTCATGGCGGCTCATGGCCCAGGTCTACAGTTCCAGCATGATACTGCTCGACGGCATACCGCGATGTTGACACGAAATTTCCTTCAAAAGCTGGAATCAACGTCATGGACTGGCCATCGAGGTCGCCTGACCTTAATCCAATAGAGCACGTTTGGGATGCACTTGGGAGAAGGCTTCGTGGTCTTAGGAACCAACCTCAGAATTTGCAGGAACTTGGAGCTGCCTTGCAAGAGCAATGGCGCAGAATCCCCAACCACGTGTTCACAAGCATCAGGCAGCCGATGAGGAGACGGTGTTTGGCAGTGGTGAATGCGCGGGGCGGCCATACACGATATTGAACTGAGAAATTTCGCATTTTTTATTCTTGTGACGTTACATTCTGTATACCCATGTTTTGGAACGGCGGTGTAGCCTAATGGAACTGATTATGGCACTGTCAGAGTATCGAGTACATCACACAGATCTCAGCAATGAAATAATAACAATTTAACCATCTTACCATCTCTTGTTCTTTTTTAGTGCCCTGAGGAAAGAATGTGAAGTTTCTTTTTTGACTCAGTATACATGCCATCTATTGTCAACCATTTATGTATTATGTAATTTTATCACATTTAATGCATGATAAAATACTTTATGGCGCTTCAGTGATTTTTCCTTCCTATTACCTCCCTTACACCGTTAACCTTGCTATTCCGTAAGATAGTAAATCCCTAGTTATCCCCCCCCTTTCTCAGCCTCTCTTTCGCGCTTAGTACCCACGCAACACGGTTTCAAGTACCCGCAGACTCCAATTCAATTTTCTTTCCCGCAGCAAAAGATTCATTTGTTAATTGCAGTGTTTCAGAATGTCAGGAAGAATAGCCGGGACTAAGAGGAGAAGGGTTTGCAAGCTACCGTCACCGTCCCGCCACGCAAGTAACAACGTGGAGCTCACAAGGTCAACACTGGGAGCAGCGCTACGTCGCCATGTGAGTATAGGTTACCCTATCTTTCCGAGCAAAGCGATGTAAATGATAACATTCCTTCAACCCCTGTTAGGATTAGCTTTCCTCGTGAGGATATTGGTAGGGAGCCAATAAATTCATATGTCGTAGGCCTGCATGCAGTTGACATTGACAACATGGGGTCACCCCAACTTGCGCTCATTTGGCGAGAATATGTTGATTTCAATTTGCTGCTTAGAGGTGCACAGCAGGACGCCTTTTCAACTCAATCATAGGTATTGACAATTAACAGCCTTGGCCAAATTGAAATTTCAAAGTCACCAAAACAGAAAGAAATCAGGCATATTAACGACAGGACCACAGTCTTTGCAATCTTTGCTAGCGTCTACTTGACGAAGTTTCCCAGACGCCACCAGGAGCTGCTTAAAACATGCATACAATTCGCATTGCGGCTCAGCGTCAAATAGGCTGGAAAAGCTATGGCACCCAGATTAGATTGTACCAAGCAAGACACCCAAAACGCCCATGGGCTAACATCAATTCAGAAATGTGGATGCTTTACATGCAGTCAACAGCACCTGCCCCAATAGGTCATCAGCGAAACAGTGAGACACCTCACCATAGTTTCCCAGGCGCTCCCAGGAAACACACCAATAGCTGCTGGGATTACAACTACCGGTCATGTAGTAGACCTGCTTGCAAGTACATGCACACATGTATGGCTTGTAATGGCAAACACCCTCAAAAATCCTGTTTTCGTCAGCCAAGGAGCCAGGTAAAGGGAAAAATACCCAAGGGTCAAGCGGTCAATACACTGCTGGACAGAGGCAGGATACAGAGGCTCGGGGAAGGATGTTCTCTTGCAAAGGCTGATATTAAAAGTGCCTTTAAGCTTTTACCTGTGTCACCAGCTGATTTTAACTTGCTTGGTTTTAAGTTCAAAAACAAATTTTACTTTGACAAGTGTTTACCAATGGGATGCAGAATAAGCTGCGCTCACTTTGAGAAATTTTCAACTTTTGTTGAATGGGTTGTTGTTAGTAACAAGGGGAGAAATTTTACATTACCTGGATGATTTTCTATTTGGAGGCAGAAGAGGCACAGACGACTGTTCAAATGTTTTAGAAGCTTTTAGGGAAGTGTGTTTTTACCTGAATGTCCCACTGTCCGAAGAGAAAACAGTCTACCCGTGTACATCCATCACGTTTTGGGTTTACAACTGAACATGCTGACAATGACTGTGTCTATCCCACAAGGGAGGATACAACAATCAAAATTTCTTCTTCACGACATATTGGGGAGGAAGAAAGTTAAGTTATTTGAAATGCAGTCACTAATAGGTCTATTGAATTTCTTCTGTAGAGCAATTCCCCCAGGTAGAGCTTTCCTGCGGAGGCTAATCAATTCAACATGCAATAACAAACAAACATCACCACATTCGCATTACCAAAGAAAAAAGAGAGGATATATTCGTATGGCTCTACTTTATAGACAATCACAATGGTACAACTCTGTTTCTCAACCAACACTGGGAGAGTAACGAACACTTGAGTTTGTACACTGATAGCGCGGGGAGTATCGGTTTTGGGATATACTTTGACAAGAAATGGTCTTTTGGACAGTGGCCAAATGAATGGCATACCATGGGTTATACATCAGATATAACATTTCTGGAACTCTTCCCCATATATGTGTCTTTGAAGCTCTGGGGAAACGAGCTGATGAATAAGAAAGTACTGTTTTACTCGGACAATCAGTCTGTTGTAGCTATCATCAACAAGTTCACATCTCGATCTCCCTTGGTGATGCTCATTGTTCGAAAACTAGTCATGTTATGTCTTAATCACAATATATAAGTAAGAGCAGAGTATATTGAAGGCAGAAAGAACATTATAGCGGATTCATTGAGCAGATTAAGATTTGATGTTTTTCGGCAGCAGGTTCCCTATGCTCTACCCAGGGCGACCCGCTACCAGAGCAGATATGGGAATTATCCACGCAGAGACCCATCGTCTGATACAGCAATCAGTGTCACAGAATACCAACATAGCCTACAAAGCAGCATTAAAGGAGTTTCAATCTTTCTGTGACCAATACAAGATGTCAGCAATATTGCCAGTCAGTGTCAGTCATGTCAGTCATTACATTGCTTACCTTTCACTCAAACGCCGGTCATCAAGTACCATTGCACAACATCTGTCGGCGATTAGCAGAACGCACAAGCTCAAGTCGTATCAGGACCCGACAGATCATTACATCATAAAGAAAATGATGCATTCTATCAGGAAACAGAACCCGTGTAAGGATACACGAGCACCACTTACCATACAGATTTTACCAAGAATATTGGATGCCTTGCAACGAGTATGTTACACTACATACGAAACAAGTCTTTTCACATCTGCCTTTACAGTAGCATTTTTTGGTTTCTTACGAATTGGTGAAATTGTTCTTGGATGCCCAGAACAGACAGAGAAACCTCTGTTTTTATCAGACATTTTGGTTTATCCTACCTCAATTTCAGTAAAGATTCGCTACTCCAAAACAGATCAAGCTGGGAGGGGTACAACACTTCTTATCTGCGAGCACCCAGATAAGTCTCTCTGTCCGGTGTTAGCGATGAAGCGGTATTTGTCAATAAGGTCTAAGGGAGGCAAATATCTCTACAGGCACTTTAATGGTGAGCCTGTCACAAGGTCACAGTTTAATGCAGTATTGGCAAAGGCAGTCAAGTTTGCTAATCTCGACTCGAGAGTTTACAAATCACACAGCTTTAGAATTGGAGCAGCATCGTCAGCAGCTACCCTCGGAGTACCCGAGGATACTATCAAGCGGTGGGGCAGATGGACATCTGCTGCCTATGCCAGTTATATCCGAATGTCGTGGGATTGGTAACTCCCACCGTTCGCTATATCATCCAATGATATCTGAATGAACGTATCAACATTATTGTTTCTTCGTTATATCTAGGCAAGTCTGCTTCAGAAATCTGGATACTGGGATATTCATATATCTATTGGGCGCATAAGAGGGCAGTTAGACGACCGGTGGGGCGCAGTCTGGGGCTACCGGGGCTTGTAACATGGCTAAGCAAGCGTGGACTGAAATGGCAGCACGTGCATACGATGATCGAGCGCCGTCTGCAACGCTACCCAAAGCCGGATATGCTGATCATTCACGCAGGGTCAAATGACTTGACGGACAGGAAGGGGATACAGCTGGCAATGAAGATCAGAGAAGGTATGGCACATATTAAAAATTTGCTACCAGACTGTACCTTAGTCTGGTCTGAGAAGCTTACCCGCAGGAAGTGGCCCGGAGCTAAGTCTTGGGTAGCTGTTGAAAACAACAGAAAAAGGGTAAACAGGGCTGTGCGCGCTGGTGTGGTTGCTATGGGAGGTAAGATCATATCGCATGAGATCTGCTTTAAAGATCCAGGTCTGTACTTCCAGGACGGCATTCACCTCTCAGATATTGGTAGGGACATATTCATCAATTCTCTCCAAGGGGGGCTTGAACTCTTTCTACGAGATCCCGAAGCTGTAAGGTTTGTTTAATTGTGGGGGCAAATTTATAGGTATAAATTTGGTGGCGGATTTTGGGTGGTTTTGATTTGCTAATGCCTATCCTCTCAGAGGTTACCCTTGGTTACGTGGCATATATATATCACGCTAACAGTATCTTTCAGTCCTCTCGGCGGTGACCCGCCGGAGGTACATTTGTAATTGCTAATGCTGTTAAAATGCTTGCTCTCTCTTGGTTACCCATAGAGAGCTACGGGTCAAGGAGCTCTATGCCTTCGGGCTGGCGCTTGGCGTGCTTATATATTATACACCACCATCTGTCACCTGCCTGCCATAATTTCGACCTTTCTATTTTGTAATAAACTGGCTGTGCCCTTATCATCCCAATGTACGTTTTGTTATCCTTTCCTTCCCTGGCCTCATTGATAGTAGGCATAAGTAAAGTGTATCAAACATTTGCATTTCAACTTGTTGAAAGAGTGACCTAAGTGGATACTAGACTAATCTACGTAGATACAACTGTGTAGATGTCAATTATTTTTGGCAGTAATACGTTTCAATTGTGCAGCATTTCTCCAGAAAAAGTAAAATTGACAGACTCTTGTACCTTGTCAAGCAGGAATGTCATTCCGTACAAGAATCAACGGTACAAGAATCTGTATCGAAACGTCGCACTCTCCGTTATAAAGAAGTTGTTATCCATAAAGTTTGTCAATTTTGTACTTCCCAGCTTCTAAAATGCCACTCAAACAAGAAAAAGCAGTTTGAAAATGATGTTGGTGACGCTCCACAACCCATACCAGAGTACCAATGAAAGACTTGTACATCATCCGCCCCCACAACAATCACTAACACATTTCTATTTAGTACGATATGGTCGTGTTTGTACTGTCGACATATATAAAGTGCCAAGTTAACAGGAAAAAACTGTAATTTCTTGTACGTCTCTGCTCATTCGTGGGTTCCTAGTGGTTTGTTCGCTCGTCACGCCGAAGACACGGGTTCGATTCCACATGGACTCACTCACTCACTCACTCTCTGCTACATTAGTAGTGAGTTTGGAATACAACAAAATACAATAACTCCCATTTGGATCGGTCTTGATTCACATATAAACAGAGAAGTGTCTACAATTTTATATCAAAAATATAACCAATTTGGTTCTATCAATACTGACCAAGCGTGATGGTTAAATAAGGCAGGGAACCAACCAATCATGTAATATCAGACATGGTTGCCTCACTACTGACTGCCAGAACATGGATGGTTAAATAAGGCAGAGAACCAACCAATCGTGTAATATCAGACATGGTTGTCTCACACTACTGACTGCCAGAACATGGATGGTTAAACAGAGCAGGGAAGAATTGACTCACAGCAAAAGACAGAGGAAAATGTATCAGGTACAGATCTATGTAATCCATGTCCAGGGCCTCCAATGACGCTCGGCATGCTGGCTCCACTTTCTCCGGCTCATGACAGTTGTCCCATATCTGCAATGATAACACGCCAGAATGATAACATACATTTAGTATAAGGGTCATCACACGTCTGACTGATGATATACGCTTAACCCCGATGGGAAACGGTACTGAAGTAATGGCAAGGTGTGTTTCTCATATCTTATCTATGTGGACAGACAAAATGACAGCTAAACAGACTGCAGCCCTTTACCCTGCTGATACAGTCTACATATACAGATGTATACGGTATAGAACATTTATGGATAACAACTTCTTTTATTCGTGAGTGCGACGTTTCGATAGAGATTATTGTACCGTTCTCAAGCGTGTTGTACCATTGTTAAATGTATACGGGTTAGGAAATTCGAATGCCCCTGATATGTTATGTCCCTGAGTGCAATGACGCCAGGCGACACTAACTAGCTTTAGCTCTGGGTTGGTATACATGTACCTGTGAGCGACTCCAGACCACCACAGACATCACGTTACCCACGTACTCCTTGATCAAACAGGTGATCATTTCAGCACAGCACAAAGTTGTTTCTTACCAGGCTTAATCTTAACACGCACTGGATGTGGAACTTGAAATGACCAACCGTATTACGGCATACTCTGTACATAGTTCTATCTATGAGGGGAGGTGGGGTAGCCTAGTGGTTGAAGCGTTTGCTTGTCGCGCCGAAGACCCGGGTTCGAATCCCCACATGAGTACAATGAGTGAAGCCCATTTCTGGTGATCCCCACCGTGATATTGCTGGAATATTGCTAAAATCGGTGTAAAACTAAACTCCACACACTCACTTTATCAATTTAAATGAAATTATTTGTTTCTACTCACTCTATGAATTATTACAAAACAGAACGTGAAACTTAGTCCGGTTACCGCTATATTATCACTATATCTGAAATCCGCGACCTCTGATGGGTTATTTTTAATACATAGGTACTCAAAGACATATTCCTGTGTAATCATGATTTGTTAATCCAAACATTTGACAATATGGACGATGATCCCGTTATCAGTAACATCCGCATTAACAAGATGTCACAATCCCTACAAAGTGTATGTGGTGAGGTCTGACTAAAACACAATGCTGTTAACAGCACAGTCACCCTACCTTCGTCACAATGAACAGCTCTTCCCTCGTTACGTTTCCTTCTTTTATCAGTTCTTTAATGGCGACTCCGATTTCCGGTTCCGTTTTATAGAGCCATGCTGTGTCAATATGGCGGTATCCCATCTCTATTGCGGCTTTCACGGCATCACCAACCTCGTTTGGCTGTAAACGAAAAATAGGTTGGTAATCTATGTGTATGTACAACTTTGCGCCATTTTCTGTGCGAGCATCCATGTATTGGAATCCCGAATCCTTCGTAATCTCCATCAAACTAAGGTTTGGGTTTTTTATAAAAATGGTAAATAAGTGCGATTATAACTTTCGTCACCTCTTACCAACCAAAGCGGACATGCCGTGACCACTGAATCTACGTGTACAGTCAACATCTACCGGAAGGTCTTCAGTCAACATCTACCCGGAGGTTACGGTCAGTCAACATCTACCCGAGGGGTCTCCAGTCAACATCTACCCTGCCAAAAACTCCCGGTCAACATCTCAAAGGTCTCAGTCAACATCTGCCCAAAGGTTCAGTCAACATCTTGAAGGTCAACATCTACAGTCAACATCTACCTGGGGTCTACAGTCAACATCTACCCGTCAACATCATCTAAGGGTCAACATCCAGTCAACATCTACCCGAAGGTCTCCAGCCAACATCTACCAAAGGACTCCAATCAACATCTACCCAAAGGTCCTCAGTCCACATCTACCCAAAGGTCTCCAGTCAACATCTACCCAAAGGTCTCCAGTCAAGTCAACCCGGGTCTCAGTCAACACGAAGGTCTCCCAGTCACCGAAGGTCTCCAGCCAACATCTACCAAAGGAATCCAGTCAACATCTACCTGAATGTCTCCAGTCAACATCTACCCAAAGGTCCTCAGTCAACATCTACCTGAAGGTCTCCAGTCAACATCTACCCAAAGGTCTCCAGTCAACATCTACCCGAAGGTCTCAGTCAACATCTACCCAAAGGTCCTCAGTCAACATCTACCCAAAGGTCTCCAGTCAACATCTACCCAAAAGGTCTCCAGTCAACATCTACCTGAAGGTGTCCAGTCAACATCTACCCAAAGGTCAACATCTACCCAAAGGTCTATTGTAAACATCTACATAGAAATCTACAGACAACATGTACCCAGAAATCAACAGTCAGCATCTATAAAGAGATCCACATTCAGCATCAACTAATATTGACAGGTCCCCCAGTATTTCATTGAGAGGGTATAATAGTTTGTAAGTAAATGTTCAACTACCAACCCGGAAACTGTTGTAGGTCCCTAAGCCCAGCATAGGCATGTCGTATCCGCTGTTGAGACGTATGGAAGGTACTTTGTCCGCCATCATGAAACTGCCCTCTCAGCACTTGACAAGAAAGTCACTAAAACACTGTCACTGAATAATTTAATAAAAGATATAAGATGTCAGTCAGGAACATGCAGTTACCATGGTTATTAGCACACGCTCTTCTATATAGCAAAAAGTCGTATCTGTGTACACTCACCAGCAGCACGACCACCTTGTCAACGAGCGTTCTACCGAACAGAAATAAGTCAACAAGGTGACCTCGTCAACACTTATAACCCAAATACAACGTTATCACGTTGGGGCGAATGACACAGTGAAGTGTATTTTGTTATCTTACACACGATACGACGTGTAAATGCTGCAGAATGACTTTGCATTCCTGGATTGTGAAGAGAAAATAAATACCAACAACAATACCTTTATATGAAACGCCAACGTGAAGTCAAACACAGCATGTAATAACACACCAGCCACACAGGCACTTCCGTAGCAGCCACGACACTGTGTTCATCGGGCATCGGCCCAACCGATGAGAGGTCAAGGGCAGCTATGCTATTCTGTCAGTAGCTCAGTTCTGACTGAGGGGAGAAACTAGAACACGTGGTGTTTACAGTAGAACTTGGCATTCGTGAGAACACATTGCTGTTTAGTAATATATTTCAAAAGTAATCGCAGATATAGTTTATGCTTATCCAGCGATATTAAGGGCGAGTGCATGTAAGTAGTATCTGAAGGTAAGGGTATCTAAACCCTCTGACCCGACCAGGGGCGGTGGGTAGCCCAGTTGTGAAAGCCTTCGCTAGTCACGCCGAAGACCCCGGTTCGATTCCCCACATGGGTACAATGTGTGAAGCCAATTTCAGATGTCTCCGCCGTGATATTGCTGGAATATTGCTAAAAGCGGCGTAAAACTAAACTCGCTCACTCACTCTATCTATGAATTATTATAGCTCGTCAGTCCGGTTACCGCTATACCGAAATCCACGACCTCTGAGGGGTTGTCATTGTTGATACATAGTTACTCATATATGACATATTCCTGTGTAATCGTGATTTGTTAATCCACACATTATATATAATGTGATATTGCTGGAATATTGCTAAAAGCGGAGTAAAACTAGACTCACTCACTCACTCACTCACTCACTCACTCACTCACTCACTCACCCACCCTGAAACGACCGTCACTGGTACAACTATATAATTACACGGTGTTATTGTAATAGGATTTCACTTCAGATTGGCATTATAATACATAGAAACATAATACAAGTCATGCAAATGGTCAATATTTGACGGATTCAACTGAAGGAAAATACTTCCTCCCAGATTATACTGTGAAACTATACATATGGAAATTACTTTAGCAACATCCGTATTTTCTCAGACTGAGTAATTGTAATGAACTGGTGCATACAGTGTGTCAAAGATTCTCATACCATGTGAATTTTGTAGTGAAAAGAAAGGGTTGAGGAGAAATTAAGCCAGGATTGCCATAGCATAATCTGGTCTATTTGAAGATGGTACTCATATGGAAAAACGACGTCATTTCATGCAAAAAACATTACGATTTTCTCTTTTCTTGCACAGAATTAACTGTCAGTACCATGTACACATCTTTCAAACAGTATCTTGTGTGGCCTCCCTGCACACGAACAACTGATTCAAGACCCATCCTCATTCCTTGGATCAATCTCCGAATTTGATTCTAAGAAATCTCGTTCCAATTCCTCAATGAGAGTCTGGACACGTGGGTCTCTCCGTCGAACACGACGGCCTAAAATGTCCCACGGATGCTCAATGGGACTGATATCTGGACCATGGGATGGTTGCAACTGCATTCTGTTGCAAGAACTAGCTGACAGCACGTGCTCTGTGAGGCCCGGCATTGTCATACAAAAAGATGGGTCTGGTGGCAAGTGGATGGTTATCAAAATGTGGGACAACATCCCTCTCAAGGATATCGTGTTGATACCGAGGCCCACTAAGGTTACCACGAATGGTAATGAGGTATATCTTGCAACCCAAGGAAATTCATCCCCATACCATGACTGACCCTCTCCCAATAGGAACCGTCTCCTGGATATTGCATTGGTCCATAGCTGTGGTCCTTTGTCTCCAGACACGTGAACGACCATCCGCCATATGCAAAAAGAAAAGACACATCGGAAAAGTGAACCCTCCGCCATGATGCAATGTTCCAGCAAACACGTTGATTACACCGGGCAAGTCGTGCTGCTTTGTGAGCTAGAGACAGTTTTATACGCTTGGTGGTCTTCTGGCCCTGTATCCTGCTGCTTTCAGGCGATTCCTGACGGTCCTGCAGGAAATGGCTCTCCATGGTAACCACTGTTGCCTTAACGATATGCAACATGAACGGCGCCTAACATGTCTCAACGATGCTCTATCCCGTTCTGTACTTTGAACATGCCTGAAGATAAGTTTAGCGTTATTTGGAAATGTCCATTATTTGATAACTTTTGAACATTTGTATTTTTATGACAGATAATGCTTACATAATTGTTAAAATGTGTATAACGCCTGTGAAAGTGTTATTTGGTCTTATTAAAGTCATACACTCTATCTAATATTCAACCTAAGTTCAACATCGTATAATATATGTGTATGTGTGACTTTGGCCTTGAGTATACAAAGGGAATTGAAATTCTAATTCAACTTAGTATGTAACACGAGTTCTGATTGGTCAATGCTATAAATTTCCGACCGTATAATCAGCATATACCGTCGCAATTTGAAAACCGATTCACCAAAACCTTTGAATGTATCCCTACACTATTGGGGTAACGCTGCTTTGCAGGACATTGTCATTTGCAGAAGCCATAGGTCAATTAACTCCCCTATCCAGCTCAAATGGGTGGAATTTGTGTTAAAAAAGACAAAACAGTATCATAAATTTAATTTTAAGTTCAAACACCTAACTCGCAACAGGCTGTTCACCCATTACTGTTAGATCATGAAACAAGATTTATGACGTCATTATGGAGCGTGACGTCACCTGCTGTGAAGTCATTTGAACTGATAATGGCCCGTAGTTGAGGAATCAGCTGGCCGCTCATTTCTGTAATTAGAGGGTGGTTTCATCAAAATTCCGTCCATTTTATCTATAATACTATGATCAATTCATCATTGTCAGATTTAGTCTGTGTGCACATAATAAACGTGTGTAGTTTGAAAAGAGAACTACTTTTTCTGGCGATGGTGTAAGTTCAAGGAGTGATATGATTATACCTTTGACCTAGAGGAACTTTGATCTGGTTTAAATAATGAATTTCTTTCGCGAAAAAAACAGCGTGAAACGAGTTGAATTAGAATGGGGATAACTGTACAGTGTTTGATGAATTGGGGACGTATACCGGTGGTTATATAGCCGCAAATTTAACGTTATATCGGCTCCGCTTGCGCAAATTTAACGTTATATCGGCTCCGCTTGCGCGTCGCCAATATAACTAAATTTGCGGCTATATAACCACCGGTATACGTCCCCAATTCGTCAAACACAGTACAGTTATCCCCTAAATAGTGTACGATTCTTGATCCTCCAATTCATTTACGATAAAAATCTTCAATGTTTCAACATATTTGCTGCTTTTGTGTTGGATTTGTCTTTTTTTTTTCTTCTTTTTTTTTTATCGCATTCCTTTTACTACCCTTTATCATATTTTTTGAAGATTCATTGATCTTTATCTATCGATTTCTGAGTTGACCTCTGCGTTTCAAAGGGGCAGTGGAGTACCCTAGTAGTTAAACCGTTAAACCTTTCGCTCGTCACCATATGGGTACAATGTGTGAAGCTCATTTCTGGTGTCCCACGACGTGATATTGCTGGAATATTTCTGAAGGCGGCATAAACCCACACACACTTACTCACTCTGCGTTTCAAATATGGAAATCAGCAACCGTCATGGTGTGCTGTTACATAAAGCCGATTGGGTGAAAAGTCCTGTACTTGATATTGTTGTCTTAGGGATCGTTCATAATTTATGGCTACGGGGTCATGATGATTTTATGGAAAGGCATGTACATTGTGAATGACACCCCATCCCCTCCCCAAAATAAAAAAAATATGTACAAAGTAAGAGACCCCCTGCATGTCATGTACAAAATTTATGACCCGCACCCCAAAGTTTTTAAGCTTAATTTAAATGACCACCCCACCCCACCCTACCTCCCCAGAACAAAATGGGTGACCCCAAGCCATAAATTATGAACGGTCCCTTACCAAAATGGCATAAAAGTATTCTTGCGATTATTCTTGAGTTTATGTAACTAAGAAAGCTACATGTTGCCACGAATGTCATGGTCACCGTGGTTTGTAAACCACACCAGTTTCTCGCCTCAGTCAGGAATATGCTGTAGTTAGTAACTGTAGTTAGAATAAGCGTCCTTGGTCTTTCATCGGTTGGGTAGACGCCTGATAAACAGCCCTGTGATTAGTTGGATTGCGCGAGGTAAGTACGTGACAGTCACGAAAGCGCCTGTGTGACTGTTATCGTATTGCAAACTGATAAACAAACGTCTACATCTATTTTTGATACTACTGAATGAAGGAGAGCTGGCTACATGCGATCACACGGACGCCGTGATGTATTATTACATGACTGACCTATATTCTGTGTTGTTTGTTAAGTCAACACGGACAAGGAAACAGCTCTCTTGTAAATAGGACATCAACAACGTAATTCATTCATTTGTCTCATCATTCATCTCATTCATTCTATAGCAGAAACAATGGACTCACGCAGAGGTGACTGTTGTCTTGTGGAGAGACAATAGCGTTGTCTTGGACATGTGACAACTCCTTGTGATGAGATATAAGGCTCGGGAATAATCAGTTATGGATGTAATTGTTTTAAGAATTACTGTGTTGAATAATGGTATAATGGACGGGTATATGCAGATTATAGCATGTGAAGAAGAGTAGAGTTCCATACCGATATGTGACTATGTTGTACAAACGTGACATTTTAATAATTAAAAGTTAATCGCGCCCCACCACTCCACCCCATCGCGACTAATTTCCTAATTTCGGGTTTGCTGCATAGGCGGATCCAGAGAGGGTGCACCCCTTTGTGCTGAAAGTTTGTTAAATGACCATTGAAACTCGGGTGAAAATGAAGTGTGCACCCCTCCTTTTCTCAATAGCTGTATCCGCCCCTGTGCTGTTATGTGTTCCAAAGTCTGCTAATGATTTACTTCGAAACATCGAAGGACTTGCAATTGGCTACTTCACGCTGGTCGTGCCTGTTTGCAACATGCCAATTGAACGTAGGCGTTCATCACGTTGTATACGTCGCAAATTAAAATAAAAATGGCTAGAAACAAACACAAACATCTATATGATCAACACATGCAAGATGATTGTCATAATTAATGGTCTACAGTGATTTATCGACCGTCAAAATCAAGAATGACACTATGTGTATGTGTGTGTGTGTGTGTGGGGGCTACTGCGTGATACGTTGTGTTTAGGGGTGGTGATCAAGAGAAATGGTGGTGCGTTCATAAGATGTCTGTCTTTGAAAAGTTTGTTGACGCTTATACTTCCTATCCAAGCTAATAGTTCAGGTTCCACTTGTTTTTTAAAAGTATGTTACGTTTACACACGTCAATGATAAATTGCTTGAGCTATGGTAATCAGTTCTTTTTTTTAAAAGTATGTGACGTTTACACGTCTCAGTTTAATCCTTGATGAAGGTCTAAATCGATACATGACGTTACAAACAGTGTTAATATGGTAAATCCATTAATCCCTTGGTGAAGTATATCGATACATGGTTAAAACAGTGTTAATATCAAAACCATTGATCCAAGTCTCCTGTAATATGGATATAACAAAACATTTTGCATACTAACGAACTTGCTTCAGAGACTGGTGGGTCAGAGAATATAGATGTACAGATAAAAGTGATCTTACCCGCTGTTTATATCTATTTGTTTATTTATTTGTTTGTATGTTGCTTAACGCTGCCTCAGAATTTTCCAGCTGTATGGCAAGGGCTGTATATAATCTTGTCTGGACCAGACAACCCAGTGATCGGCATCATGGCATCGATCTCGATTGCGCCTGGCATAACTGACATCAAATGATGATCAAATTATTCTTGATTTAATATCTACTGAGAAATCTGTGTGTTACCCTGAATGTCGGGATCTAAGGGGTCTTGTGTCAACAACGCGAGTTCTGGTTTCTCACTTCAGTATTGAATGTGCGTCGACTGTTGACACAAGGTTACGACAGAGACCATAAATCAGTTAATGGTCTCAGGTTAAGATAAGGCCACATAAAAATAACTTCTTCTCTCTCTTAAAATTGGGCCCGACGCTAATTGTTTTTTCTTTGTTGTTGTTTTTTGTTTTGTTTTGTTGTATTTGTTGTTGTATTTTGTTTTGTGCACTGGTAAATTTTCGTGCATAAATCTGTCTAAGCTTCCGTCATTCGACTAACATTGTATAGAAAATCAGAAGAAAATATTAAAAAATTAAAATAAAATCAGCCCTACTTACCCATCTTTTGTTTACAAAAAAAGTGATGAGAAACAAGAAATTATTTTATGTGGCCTAACTGCCCATGGTCTGTCAACGGATAGGTCAACGCCTGATAAATATCCCTGAACGTAAGACGTGCGATTACACAATGTAAATGCCCTTTACAGAAGCCCCAGTAGGTCTGGTATGTTATCATTTAAAAAATGTGTAAACCGATACACACAGCAACTGAGGGAAGAAAGGTTACGCATACGATACGATCACGTGGATGACCTCTTGAAGTATGTGTACATTGTTGTTCATTATACTCTGTCTACACATTGTATCGGAGTGTGTGTGTGTGGGGAGTTACCGACAATGTGTCGAATTCGACGGAGTGTGACGCAAGTACTTCATATTTATTGCTGTAATGGTCTCATTCGGCCTTTGATGACGACCACTACGTATGGGGATATATAAGATGGCTTCACCTTCCCCTCTCACTTTAAAATCTACAAATTATCATCACCATCGTCATCATTATCATCACGCTTTAGCTGAAACCGCTCTCCAATCACAGGCACAAAACACACCCACACTACACTGTAATACAGTGGAAGTACAGATGTATTGCTGACATGTGTTTTCTTTAATTAAAATAGATATTAAAAGTACCTACTAGTAGGTTTTTGGTTTTAGAATTTCTTGTCAAGGTGCTGAGAGGGAAAAGTTTCAAGATGGCGGACAAAGTACCTTCCATACGTCTTAACAGCGGTTATGACATGCCTATGCTGGGCTTAGGAACCTACAACAGTTTCAAGGTTTGTAGTTGAACACTTTATTTACAAATGTTACCAGCCCTTGGAACATGTGTATGCAGATTTCCAAAAGAGTAAGCTTGAATTGTGGTGGAGGACCTAGCCCTGATTTCTCGAAACAAACTTAAGTCTGGGTTTTGACTTAAGTTACAGTTTTTACTCAAATTTGAGAAAAAAACAGGAAAATGCATTTCCCAGAATAAACTGAAATGGATATAAATCTCAAACTTAGTCGACAATTTGAGTTAGGTAGATAGGTTACATGAGTTGTTTTGTATTTTGGGTTTTAGAATTGAGACTGAGTTAGAAACTCAGCTGTTTCTAATTGTCCAACACAGTTTGTTGGTTTCGAGAAACGAATTATGACCTCATAAATGTTGACACTGACTATGGACCATTAGGTAGATGTTGACTATAGACCCCTAGGCAGATGTTGATCATAGACCCCTAGGTAGATGTTGACCATAGACCCCTAGGTAGATGTTGACCATAGACCCCTAGGTAGAAGTTGACCATAGACCCCTAGGCAGATGCTGACTAGAACCCCCTAGGTAGATTGTGACTATTGGCCTCTGAACAGATGTTAACCGTAGACCTCTGTGTAAATGTCACTGTGGTTCTCCGGGTATATGTTGACGGAAGGCCTCAGGATGGGTGTTCACGTAAACGTCCGGATGGATGCTGACTGTAGACCTCCGGGTACGGGTTGATCGTAGACCTTCCTGTAAAGTTTGACTAAATAGACAAATACTGCTATATAATACTCAACTTTTGATAAGGATCTTCCTGGTTTGCTGTGATACAACAAATGGGTTATATTTACTTTTGAACATATTTGCCAAGAAACGTCTCCATTTGTGGCCACCCTAGTCAAATGCTTTAATACTTGTATACTTTAATTTGTATTCCCAGTATACACTTTAATCTTCGATGATTAGTCAGTGCAACTACACATGAATGTTCGTGACACGCTGTGCAATTATCAGCTGTAACGGTATTTTTGTGGTTTGCGAATAAAATCAGATTCAATTACCATTTTGGTAAAAACCCATTAAGCCGGTTATGGGTCTGACAATCCAAGGATCATACCAGGAATGAATCTGGATTTCGACTCTTCGGATCCTGACATGACTAAGGGTTGCAAATGTCTACAGACTCCAACGTGTAACATATATGTATACTGTTATTTTGTTTTTCCCAACAGCCAAACGAGGTTGGTGATGCCGTGAAGGCCGCAATACAGATGGGATACCGCCATATTGACACAGCCTGGCTCTATAAAACGGAACCGGAAATCGGAGTCGCCGTTAAAGAACTGATCAAAGAAGGGAAAGTAAAGAGGGAAGAGCTGTTTATTGTGACGAAGGTTTGAAGGTTGTTTACAATATTACCATGTTTGCCTTCAAGACAGAACAAAATTACAGACCTTACCACTTATCTTGCCTCGCACATAAATGTCGTTTTCTGATTGGCTGAGCGCTCTTCTATTATTTTCGATGTACCCCGCTTACAAGCGAGTAACATTTTCTATGTACCCCGCTGGGAATGCCGAACTCATTTGGTACTTCGTGGTAGAAATTCTTTATTTCGAATAACATTGAATCACACGTATGATGTAAGGAAATTACCGTTTTTTGCGAATGCAAATCGACGGAAGGGAGATAACTCTAAATTTGTTTTTCTTGTCGTCTTGTCGTCTGGTACTCCATACTATGATCCGATACCCGTGCTTCAAACAGTTCAAATTTACCATTGAGGTGTTCGGTAAGATAAATACGTTGTTCACTGATGTACCCTCGATGTTTCTTCGGGCTCAGGGAACATAAACAAACATCGAGGGTACATCAGCCCATGTCCCCCTCGTGACCAGTGAACAACTTATAATAACACTTTGAGGAAACTGTTAAACATCGTCAATGCGGACGGTCCGTATCCGGGCAGATCTGCTTGATTGTCAAATGTCCAGACAAACAAATCATCAGTGTACAGGAATATATCTTTGAGTAAGTATTTGCGATTACAACCGATCAGAGGGCGTGATTTCCAGAATCACGGGATCCAGAATACCGAGGTTCCCTTTTATGGTCCCAAACATTCCATGCATATAACTGTGCACTGAGTTGTCATCTGTTCATTTCAAGTTGTAATACTCACAATCGTTCTGCCCAAATATGGATCCATCTACAAATATCAACAGAAAAGATGTCTTTAGAAAATAAAAAAAAGTTTACCAAAAGCGTGTGGTGAAACACTTATGTGATTGCAGTGAGTTTTCGTTTTAATGTGTAATGATGCATATCAAATGTAAACTCTCCACGTACGCTATTCAGAAATACTTTTTTATAAAAATCAAGAATCTCATGCATGTAATACGAAACATTAGATTAAATCATTGAACACAACACAACACAACAAAAACATTTCAATTTTCAAATTTTGGTTAAACATAGTACAAAACACGACTATATAAACACAAAAATTAACATTAGGTCATTTGGAAATTGATCAGTTATGCAATAACTGACATTTGTTGTGGTACAAGTGGTACAAAAAGTGTCATTGTAAATATGCTGTCTCATCGGTAAGAGGATAACTATACCATAGAGTTTACTATATATTCTTCAAAGTCAACATTTATAGCTCCATATATTTACAAATGTTGGTAAAAGCTGGATTTAACAAAGGCCGGATGAGAACAGTGACCTGAACAGAGGAAGGGAGGTAATCCTAAATGCCTTAAGTTACGAGTGCTTCAATAACTCACTGCAAACATGCCAGCCAAAAAAGTCTTATCAAAACAATTGACGTTTACGCAAATGTGATTAAACTATTATACTTCGTTCTGATAAAATGTCTGTGCATTGAATATACAATGTAATATGAAACGTGGTAATAGCTGCTGAATAGATATGTCAACTTTGCAATACTAAAACGACCTAATATATGTTATAATTGAGGTTACACTTTTCAGTAAAGTACAGATTCTAGTACTTTATTGTGTTCACAATAATCCCCAGCAGACAAAGGCAGCGTTCTAAACCACTCAGATACCTCGGCTTCCACAAAAATGGAAGACCACTGATACATCACGTACTTTGTGTACCCTTCTGACAAGTGTAAATGTGTAAGGCTCATTTAACGAAAGCTATGAATGCCTCAAATCAATTTACCTTTGTCAGAGGGGTACAAAAAGTACATGTACATGATATGCGACAGTGGTTCGGAGATGAGATTTGTAATGCCATGTGATAATTGACCAATTGAATCAAATTCTGATCTGCATAAGAACATACCAGAGACAAGAGACAATATGCAATAAGATATTACAGCTAAACCCTGACCTCTGAAACATTGAACGCGATCTCATGTTGGTTTACACATGCTGGACTGTGTTGCACATTGTCCAGACAATCGTGACAATTAATGCAGTGGACTTTGACAGCCAAAGGGATGGGTTGAAACATTGCATGTTGGACAAGGCCATTGTCCAGAAAGTCGTGACAATTAATACAATGGACTTTGACAACCAAAGGGATGGGTTGAAACATTGCATGTTGGACAAGGCCATTGTCCAGAAAGTCGTGACAATTAATACAATGGACTTTGACAACCAAAGGGATGGGTTGAAACATTGCATGTTGGACAAGGCCATTGTCCAGAAAGTCGACAATTAATACAATGGACTTTGACAACCAAAGGGATGGGTTGAAACATTGCATGTTGGACAAGGCCATTGTCCAGAAAGTCGTGACAATTAATACAATGGACTTTGACAACCAAGGGGATGGGTTGAAATATTGCATGTTGGACAAGACCTTTGTCCAGAAAATCGTGACAATTAATGCAGTGGACTTTGACAGCCAAAGGGATGGGTTGAAATATTGCATGTTGGACAAGACCTTTGTCCAGAAAATCGTGACAATTAATGCAGTGGACTTTGACAGCCAAAGGGATGGGTTGAAACATTGCATGTTAGACAAGGCCATTGTCCAGAAAGTCGTGACAGTTAATGCAGTGGACTTTGACAACCAAGGGGATGGGTTGAAACATTGCATGTTGGACAAGACCGTTGTCCAGAAAGTCGTGACAATTAATACAATGGACTTTGACAACCAAAGGGATGGGTTGAAACATTGCATGTTGGACAAGGCCATTGTCCAGAAAGTCGTGACAATTAATGCAATGGACTTTGACAACCAAGGGGATGGGTTGAAATATTGCATGTTGGACAAGACCATTGTCCAGAAAATCGTGACAATTAATGCAGTGGACTTTGACAGCCAAAGGGATGGGTTGAAACATTGCATGTTGCACAAGGCCATTGTCCAGAAAGTCGTGACAGTTAATGCAGTGGACTTTGACAACCAAGAGGATGGGTTGAAACATTGCATGTTGGACAAGGCCATTGTCCAGAAAATCGTGACAATTAATGCAGTGGACTTTGACAACCAAGAGGATGTGTTGAAACATTGCATGTTGGACAAGGCCATTGTCCAGAAAGTCGTGACAATTAATGCAGTGGACTTTGACAACCAAGAGGATGGGTTGAAACATTGCATGTTGGACAAGGCCAGTGTCCAGAAAGTCGTGACATTTAATGCAGTGGACTTTGACAACCAAGGAGATGAGTTGAGAACAAGACACACCCGCATTCACTGCATTGAACTCATGTTTAGTTGACCTTCATTAAGCGGCACTTAGAAGCTGGTATGATAAGAAGGAACAGATCAGTTAGCAGTGTTGTGAGTGATCGCCGACAAATCTGGCAAAGCCACTGTGGACTTCTTTGATATTATGCAGCAATTCGCAATTGTGTCATCCAGATTTAGGGTTACTCAGTGACGATTAATAGTGATATCATTAAAGATTTGAGCCCTCTTGCAGTTCATTACTCAAAAACGTTACTCATCGGAGGGATTCAAAGTTTAGGAATTTGATTGCAAGAGTATGGTGAACGTCCACCGTTTGTGGAGCTCACAAGAAAAGGCATGACAAACGTATAGTGCTATAGCGGAAATGAGGAAAGAACTGTTCCCATCAGTATTAAAGTATTCTATCATTTGGTCGTGTTACCTTTACAGATATTGGGCCACTGTCATGACCCAGAGGACGTGAAGCCAGCGTGTCGCCAGTCACTGGAGGCCCTAGACATGGATTATATAGATCTGTACCTGATACACTTTCCCTGTGCCCTACGCTGTGAGTAAAGACTTCTCCGTGTCTTTTTTCCATCCATGTTCTAGCAGTCTGTAGTGAGACAACCATTTCTGATATTAAATGATTGGTTGGTTATATTTAATAATAAATATATAAACAAATTTATGTCTTTGTGTAATGGCCCATATATAACTGATCTGGTTGGGGGTTACGGGTATCGGGTTGTGTCACCAATGGAAGAGGAAAGAAGAAATGGTCAGGATTTCTGTTGTTGTTAAAATGTGTTGTCTTTTAATGCTGCATTCACTTCTATCACCACGACATACAATGTTTGTAGTGTCAACGTAAGAGATCACATATCCTCATCATTTATACATCATCGGTGTATATGTATTGTTTTCAATTGAAGAATTGCTAGGGAAAAGGAAACTATCCACTTAAACACTGCATTGGAAAGTATAAAATCTGAAAACCTTAATAGGCCGAAAACAGTTTCTGAAACAAACTTTAGGTCGAAAACACAGCTATGATATCCATATGAAGTGCATTTTGCTTTTGGTTTGATTCATGTGTTTGTTTGTCATTAAAATATGAAGTGCCATCATCAGTATGTTCATAGTTTGATGATCATAGATACTCTTAAGAATGGTGAATTTGGAGATCTGCGAGATTAAACTTATACCTACGCTGATGTTAGCTTCTACAAAGATCATACCTTCATCTAGATGAAGGACACTTTCATATACGTAGATTCTGTTTATGCCTATGAAGATAATATTATAATCGTGTGATTCCTGACTGTGGATATAGTTTGTAATCACTTTGGATACAATTTACACAAACAAATACATTCAGTTTATAAATGTTTGGCATGATGTTGGTTGTCTATTTTCATTTTGTCATTGCCCGTTTGGGGGAAACAGTCACCTCTGAAATACAAACTCATCTTCAATCATTTACTAATGAAAGGTTATTTGATATTTAGCTAATAGATCAGTAATGCCAAAGTTGGAAGTCAAAGAAATCGAGCATTATTTATTGAGCCAGAATTTATATACAATTGACCCAGAACAATTTGTTATTTAGTCAATGATTCAATAATATACTAAGCAGCAAAAGAAACGTCAGTTTGGAATTTCCCTTCTCAGAAACGGATAACTATAAACTCATTTAATGTTTTGATTGTATATTTTTGACAACATCTCCAACTTTACCTGAGCAAAGACATTCCTTCCCAAACTCAGAATTGAACCCAGGAAATGGTCTCAAAAACTCAACCTGATCTCGGAGATGGTACGGTGTTCTCCATGTTTTTCATGCAACTCTGCACGTGCTGTTCACAAGGACCAGCCCTATAAAATGCACCCCCAAACCTGGTTGAAACATTCACATTACAACGTCGGCAGGTTGCCGCGACTCACGACAGCTCAGAGGAACCAGGCGCCACGAAGACTTGAAGCTGGCCACATTGCACAAGCCGTTGCCAATCACTTCCAGGTTAACGTTCGGACCATCTACAGGCTGCAGCAACGTTTCCGGGCCACCAACACCACAAATGATCGCCCCCGTACTGGCAGACCAAGGGTCACCACAAGACGACAAGACCGCCATGTTGTGCGGCAGCATGTACAGAATCCCTTCATGCAGGCATCCGAAACAGCACGCCAGACAGTGGGAACACACGGAAGACCAATCAGTACTGATGCAGTACGCCGACGTCTTAACAGCGGGAACCTCCATTGCCGTACACCTTACCGTGGACCTATCCTCACCCCTCGTCATCGGCGTGAACGTCTACAGTTTGCCCTACAACACCAAAACTGGCGATACAGGCAATGGAGAACTGTTCTGTTCACAGATGAGAGTCGGTACTGCGTATCAACTGCAGATGGCGGAACAAGAATATGGCGACGTGGCCAGCGTTACTCAGACCAATGTGTTACGGAAAGAGACTCATGGGGAGGTGCAAGCATCATGGTATGGGGTGAACTAGGCCTGAACCAGAGAGGGGGTCCTGTGGTGTTCCAGAACCTTGGTCCAGGGAGAGGAGCTTGCATCACAGCGGTGCGCTACATCGACCAAGCTCTCAGACCAACACGTCATAACACATTTCGCACGTCACCGGAACAACATTTTCCAGCATGATAACGCCCGGGCCCATACTGCCAGAGCTACACGGGACTTCCTACAGCAATACGGTGTGAACATGATGCGGTGGCCAGCCCTTAGTCCTGATTGAAACCAGTTGGACAGCTTTGGGATGAAATTCAGAGGAGACTGAATAATGTCATACCAATGACATGCCGATTTATTGCGTCAGGCCTTTCTCAGAGTGTGGTTCCAGGTGCCAATGGCTTTCATCAATCGATTGGTGCACTCCATGCATAGACGCTGTGCTGCAGTTATTGCCGCTCGTGGTGGTCACACTAGATACTGAAGTCAAGAGTCTGAATGGACTGCAAACGTTCACGTAATGTCTTGGAATTGTGCTGAGTTATTCATTGATGTGTCAAGATATTGTACACAAAAAATGTTTTTGATCCGCTTATTATGTCCATTTCTGTAATGATTTGAATACAGTGCCTATCTCATTTTGAATTCGTACTGACGGGTTTTTTTGCGGCTGAGTATATATGAATACATCTGATGAAAACTGAACGATAAAAACTGAGTTGATCTGAAATAGATCTTCTTCGGAAGAAGACAGGTCTTAACCATCCTCAGGAACAAATTCCCTTTGGCGCAAAGAAAAGAGCTGTCGAATATATATGAATGGACCACTGAAAAGTCCAATATTCCAGTTATGGTAACGGTTGGTAACAATAATCGAGTGTGGACCAGACAATACAGTGATCAACAGCATGTACATTGATGTACGTAATTGGGATTTGACGACATGTGTCAACCAAGCCAGCGAACCTGACTGCCCGATCCCGTTAGTTGCCTCTTACGACAAACATGGGTTGTTGAAGACCAAACCTAACTTGGATCTCAGTACTCACGGGTACTCATTTGATAATATACCTGCTACAACTTTACACAATTCCTGACTGCAAATTGCCAAATCATAATATAACCTTCCTTTTTAAAAAAAAGAACAGACCAGAAATAGACGCCACTATATCAAGGACCGTTTATTCCTTAATGTAAATTTGCTTACAATTGGACATACTGCTTAAACACAAGCAACATTCTCTTACACAGACTATTTTCTCTAGATATCCAGCCATTTTTCACATTTCACGAACCACCAACAGTTTCATGTCCTTATACGAATGCTACTTCACTCGAGGTGTTCAAATATAGGAACGTGTTGAACAACATGGACTAAATTGTACTTGTGGGTGCGAAAGTTCATGATAATGCAAGCCACATGTCATGTAATCGCATCTTATGGAAAACAAAATCCTTCATCAGTTATTCAAATATGAATCAAAATATTGTGAGCAAACACCTATCAGGATTATAAATATTGTAAGGGCATATTCCAAAAATGGTCTAAAGAGAAGGGGGGAAAATGTGTTAAATGGCTTTGAGAACGGATTCAGTAAGGACATGACATTGTCGTTGGCAGAGTATACCGACTGAGAGAGAGAAAAACTGGAATTAACCTATTTTGCCCCAAAGACTTTCGGGAACCATACAGATAGTTTTAGTCCTGTTTCACAAAGCAGACCTGTATGATTAAACAGATATATTTAATCACAAGAGCAGCTGTGGTTAAACTAATACGAATACGCAGGTCAATGTTAATTACCTGAGCTATTGTTAATTCTCTTAGTTTAATCCTTGAAGAAGGCAAAACTCGACACATAGTTAAGACAGTGTTAATCCCAAAACCATTGATCCAAGTCTTTAGTAATAGGGTAGTTATGATGATATTTTGTGTACTCACGGACTTACTTCAGAGACTGGTTGGTCAGAGAATGTAGATGTACAGAATAAATGCACAGATAAAAGTGATCTTCCCGTTATATCTTCTTGTTTATTTATTTGATTGTGTGTTGTTAACGTTGCCTCAGAATTTTCCAGGTATATCGCGAAGGCTGTGAATAATCTTGCCTGGGACAGACAATCCAGTTATTCTACCATGACTTCAGTAAATACTGGATTGTGATTGGTCAATTAAAGTCATTCAGAGGTATATAATCACGGTATTTTTTCAACATAATATGTATCTTTTTTTAAATCCCAATCAAGCGGTTATGGTAGAATAGAGATAAACAATACTGTCTAAATTTGATTTAAAACCGAACGCGCAGCGTGAGGTTTTAATTTTAAAAGTTAGAGCTATTATAATTTCTTTATATACCTCTGATGTTCCAACACACTATGTTTATCTCCTAATTGGCATCATGGCATCGATATCGATTATGTCTAGCAATACTGTCATCAAATAATTACCAAATTATTCTTATTTAAATATCACCGGGAAATCTGTGTGTTACCCTGAATGTCGGGATCTAAGTAGTCTTGTGTCAACAACGCGAGTTCTGGTTTCTCACTTCAGTATTGAATGTGCGTCGACTGTTGACACAAGGTTACGACAGAGACCATAAATCGGCTAAAACACTCCAGTTAAGATAACCGCCAATAACCTGTCAACGGGTAGGTCGTCGCCTGATAAATATCCTTGAACGTAAGCCGTACGATTACACAAGGTAAATGCCCTTTTAAAGCACCTGCAGGACTGGTATGTCATCATTACAAATCTTTAAACTGATAAACATTTTAACTGAAAGAAGGAATGGGTACATAGGACGATGTGATCACGAGGATGACCTCTTGATGCATGTGTATATCAGCGACCTGCAGTCAATGCTGTTTATTATACTCTGCCTACACATTGTATCTTTGTATCTGGGAGATAACAGAAATGCAAGTCACTGTACCTGCGTTCCACGGTATCATGGAGATATTTGTCCAGGAGTTTGATAACGTTTTATTTCACCGGTGCTCGTGTCGGGTGAACACTCTCTGGCAAAACGACCGCTGAATAAGCATTACTGCTGCAATCGTCTGTCCGGTGAGTTGTGTTTGAAGGTCGACAATGCAATTTTCTGCTTTCTTGAAGAACGTCTGAATTTACCAACTAACATCGTGGAGGTACAGGCACCTCACATGTTTTATCTGTTATTAAAATATATATTAACAATACCTGGGTTTTTGGTTTCAGACTTTCTTGTCAAGTGCTGAGAGGGCAGTTTCAAGATGGCGGACAGAGTACCTTCCATACGTCTGAACAGCGGTTACGACATGCCTATGCTGGGCTTAGGAACCTACAACAGTTTCCGGGTTGGTAGTTGAACATTTTCTTTCCAAATGTTACCCGTTAAATAGAATCATTTCAGTAAAAACTCACGAACCCGGTTATGGTTCTGACAGGCTAAAGATCATAATCTGACGGTTCTGGAATTCGAACAAAGGTTCGCAACTCTGCACAGCCTCTGTGCAAATTTAAAATATGTAGATTATCAATCTGTGTTCTCCCACAGCCAAACGAGGTTGGTGATGCCGTGAAAGCTGCAATACAGATGGGATACCGTCAGATTGACACAGCCTGGATCTATCAAACGGAACAGGAAATCGGAGTCGCCATTAAAGAACTGATTAAAGAAGGAAAAATAAAGAGGGAAGAGCTGTTTATTGTGACGAAGGTATGTGCTGTTCATATTTATCGCCATGTTTGTTTATTTATTAAACAGAAATACAGACCTCACCACATAAAACATTGTAGAAACTGTGAAATCTCGTCCATGCGGGCGGTGCAGTACCTGAGCTCATCGTCCGGATTATCAAATGTTCCGGATTAACAAATCATGGATGTACAGGAATTGTCCTTCGAGTATACATTTGTGATCACAACTCTTCGGAGGTGTGGTTTCATGAATAACGATATCAAGACTAATAACCCACTAATATACAGGTGACCTACCCCAGATTCGGCCTTAGTGACGTTTCACAGTGATATCATTAATCAAATGAGACCTCTATAATACAAACACGTCACACATCAGAGAGATGCGAAGGTGTTGTAATTGAAAGCCCGTATAGTTCTTATCTTGTCTTCCCCCATAAAATTATGTCAAATCGTTTCACAACAACGTTAAACGTGTATATTGTCATTCAGAAATTTTATCATTACAGATTTGGGGCCACTGTCACGAACCAGATCAGGTCGAGCCAGCGTGTCGGAAGTCACTGGAGGCCCTGGACATGGATTATGTAGATCTGTACCTGATACACTTTCCCGTGGCCTACGTTGTGAGTCAAGACTTGTTTAACCACCACTGTAGTCAGTGAGGCAATCATATCTCATATCAAAATATATATTTTGTAGACGCTATATCGTTATGAAATGGTGCAAACACAACCAACGTCGTTGGAGGTATTGGGTTGTGTCCCGAAAACACAACTAATCTTACAGAATGACACAAGGAAGTGGAGGTAGAAATAGTATGTGTGTTGGCGCCTTGAACTTTATCATCAGTGCATACAGTACGTGCAGTACATGATTTACTTTGTCAACTTAACTGACCACTGTGTAGTGAGTGAGTGAGTATGGTTTTACGCCTGAAGCGACCCTTTTCGGAACCAAGCAGCAGCTCCAAAAGGTGGACATACACACCATTAATGTTTCAGACACGGAAGTCCAGTTAGCAAAGACTGTCAAACATCTTTGTGTCCTGCGGGACCCAACGCTTTCCATGGAAGCTCAGATTAAGAACGTCTGTAAGACTTGCTCCTGGAATCTCCGAGTGATTGGGAATATTCGTCCCTTGATCACCGTGGAAGCTGCTAATTGTCTAGCTAGATGCCTGATACAGAGTAGACTTGACTACTGTAACAGCCTCTATGTAGGACTCCCTGATGTCCTCCTCGACAAACTTCAAAAGGTGCAAAAAACGACAGCACGAATCGTGACCCTCACCTCCAAGAAATCCCACATCAGTCCTGTTCTTAGAAATCTCCAATGGCTAGGATCCAGTTCATATTCTCTGTCTGACATATAAATCTCTACACGAGCAATCTCGTCCATACATATCAGCACAGGAACTAAGGTCTCAACACAAGAACCTACTGACAGTGCCACAATACAAACTCAAGTCCTTTGGTCGGAGATCTTTTGAACATTATGCCCCCTACATGTGGAACTTTCTTCCCCAAGATCTTAAACTTTTTCCAACATTTGGAAGCGAGTCTCAAAATCTATCTTTTCCGCCAGTTCTATGAATCATACTAACATTGTCATCATCCCTTCCTATGTACTTTTTGATTGTTGCGCCTTGAGCATGCTACTAGCCTGGAAATGAGGTACCAAACCAAGGGCACCGAGAACAATGGGGACCCTGACGACAGTGTTCTTGGATGCAAGTGAGACATTTCAAAGCGAGGTCCGCATATTTTTCCTGAATCTTGCCAATCACGTTGCTGTCAAAAGGGACAGAAAATTCAATGATATATATAAATTCATTCGCTTTATCTAAAAGAACAAGATCAGGTTTGTTGGCTGGAATTCTTCTAAGGCTGTGTATAGGCCTATTCCACAGAAGTGTGAAAGCATCATGACGTGTTCAGGGTCGTACCATCGCTGGACCTCAGAGTCAAAGCCACAGGCATGGCGAAGACGATAGTAAAAGCAGCGAGCCATGCCATCATGTCGTTTAAGATATGCTGTTTGTGCCAAGGAAGGGCATCCACTGACAAGGTGTTGGACAGCCTCTGTAATTTCATTACACAGTCGGCATTTCGTGTTCACATTTAGGCGATTGCGAGTGGGAAGTGACTGGTCCTGAGCAGCAAAAAGGAAGCCCTCAGTTTCAGCTTTGAGACCAGCCGACTTCATCCAGGCGAAGGAGTCGGTGGGATTGCTATTATGTCAACACACTGCATTTACACACGATGCATTGGCTTCTCTGAAAGCTCCACAAAAGACCGACTCTGGGCAGACTTGGTAAAGGACGTCACCTGGTTTACTCCCATCACTGTACCGTCCAGCAGTACATCGCCATCAACCTCAAATCTCAGTTATTATTATTATTATTAGTAGTAGTATTACGCCGTTGTTGGTTTTTTTGTGTGGCAATATTCCAGCAATATCGCTGCGGGGGACACCAGAAATAGGCTTCACACATTGTACGCATGCAAGGTCTTTGGCGTGACGAGTGAACGCTTGAATCCCTAGGCTACCAACAGTATGCTGGTGACAGGCTGCTTGATGAAAATGAGCGAATGAAGCGGTCGTACAATTACTTTTGTAGTATCAGGATGTCAGTTATTGGGAATCATTGTCATTACAACTTCTTCTACCTAAGGATATTCTGTCCAGAATATATAATTGGTTGATGTGTGTAATGTCGTAACGAGATAGTGATGTCAAAGCACGTTATCTGGGCCTGTATGCGTCTGCATTATTACTTTTCACCAGGACAAGGAAAGGACCAAGCCGACCATGACGGACTACCTGGACACGTGGAGAGTAAGTAGCCTCAAATCCTACTCCTGTAACGATAAAAACACTAAACCAAATAAGGCTATACTTACAAACCTGGTCCGTGGATTCAACCGATCTGAATTAGATTTGAAGGAAAAAGGAATATGAACGTCCTTAGAAGAATGTACAGTCTACTGGAAAGTTGATTAACACCAATTACAAAGGATCCATGAACGTCTTTGTCAAGGTTCTCTGTAAACTGCGTCCATGAAACAGGTGCGACAGTCAACTGTCCGTTAGTGTCACCACTGTAAAATGCACAACCTATAGGTGTTCTAGAACCTGAAGACAAACAGTTTTTTGTTTGAATTCCCGAAAGATGAGGCATACCAGCATGTATTATATGCAGACGAGGGGTTAAATACGTTTAGGGTTAAATACAACAGGTTGAATATAATATTTAGAAGAACAAGTTTGGCCAACAAACATGATTATCGTTGCTGCTCCTCAGTTTACACACAAAAGAAGTAAACTGTCAATATATGCAAATAGGACTGACAAAACCTAATCAAATAATTCGTATGGTACAAGTCAAAATAGGTAATTGCATCGGACATACTTTTGTCACTGATGCATCAAATGTTGAAATGTCCTCTACATGTCTACCGTGAAACGTACTGAAAGCTTGACTGAGGCCTTGAATGTTGTAATATTGTGGTCGCACTCCCCCAGAGTGGGTTGTGGCCAACGAGAAACCAGAAACAGTCGTATTATATGACGTATGAGAGTTTTGAAAAGTAAACACCAACGCTGTTGGAATGTTTGCTCAAATGAAAGGAAAGTTGCTTATAAGTTCAAATCATCCCTGTTGTCTTCCAGCCTTAAGGAGTGTTTTGTCAGTCTGAATCTGTATGCATAGATCTAGATATGAAAAAGCTGAGCTCACTTCAAGTTCAGGTGGGTAAGGGGTGGAAGGGAATTGGCTGTCTTTTGGTTATTGAACGATATTATATCATCGATATACCTACAGCTTAAGTTACACTTCTTGGCCAAATTACCTTGTTTTGATTTTGCCAACAAGAGCAAAATTCTGATTCATATGCAAAAAGCAAAAGGAGAGCACAGTTGGTGCCCATAGGGATGCCTACTTCTTACCCCCAAATTTTACAAAGATTGTATCAATGAGGAAGTCCAGCATATATATAATCTCTCAATATATCTATTTTTCATCAAGAACAAAAGAGGATTGTGCATGTCTTCAGGTTTTAGAGTCAAGCCAAACGTTGATAGCACTGATTAATGGTTTTGGTAAATCTGTCCTCAGTTAACATACTGGCCTTTCTATGTAGCATTATTTGACATAGCACGTACACTAAGCTCTCTGAACAAACAATTTATGTTATGATGTTTACATAAAATGATAATGTTATATACGGCCTTGTCAGTGGGTATAACTACAAAATTTTCATGCAAGGCAGCCAGACTTTGGAGAGAGAATAGGTTTATTTCACTTCGTTTGGAATCCATGATAAAGTCCTGATCTTAAGTCTTTTGTTCAGTATAGGCTATTACACAAACAGGTTCTCTATGTCAAGAAACACATTCTATTGCATTGTGGATGTATTTGCAAAGAATCACTGTACGCCAGCTTTCCTTCCCTCCAGGCCATGGAGAAGCTGGTGGACAAGGGCCTTGTCAGATCTATCGGCGTCTCCAACTTCAATGCACAACAGCTGGATAGGATTCTCAAAATGGACGGTCTCAAGTACAAGCCTGCAAATAACCAGGTAGATATTGGTTAAATATGACACCAAGGCGGTGCTCGCTGGTTGTATGGAAGTGGTAAATTGCTCTGACTTTGACCACTTCGGGCTCTTATTAAGGAGGGTGGCGCTGTCGTGTCAGGTGCTGCATCGTTGTGCAGAATTGCATCCCTCGTGCATCAGCTTCGATACGATTTGCTTCTAGGTTGATCAGCACCATACCCGTGGGTTTCACCGACGTCGTGAACGTCTGATACATCTGCATCATTTCAGGCTTTCCTCCGCTACATGCAGTACTGAAATACGTTCCACAGAGGGGTTTAAAACCAGCTGAAATACTCACTCTAATCAAAGAACTGACTAATGTTTACGACTCGGTTTGGTTTCAGGTGGAGATAACTCCATACCTGGCCCAGGACGACCTCCTGCAGTTCTCCCTGAAGAACGGCATCTCAACTACTGGTTATGGGCCGTTCGGAGCGCCGGGACAGGTGTAGTAAGTTATCTTTACTTATTGCAACTTTACAAAACACATTTTGCAAACTCCAGAAACACTCTGACTACCACAGTACGTTCAACACTGAAGTGGAGCACATTAAAAGTTGAAGGTTAAATAAAGGTTAATCCCGACGTCGGAAAGTCCAGATTGTGTAAATAACCACACACGACCAATAAATGATTAACAAATGATACACAGGAATTTGGTCACAATCACATGAGTAATATGGGTCTAATATAAACGGTGTTGAAAGCAGGTAGCAAGTCGATGGTGAGGGGTATCTCGTCAGATCGTACAAAAGCCCGTATATCGTTCATGTATGGGTACACTATATTACACGATCATCAATATGCTGACACATGCAGTATTATAATATACTCATGCCAATATGGTTGTCACCCCCTTCCATTTTTAATTGGAGGGGGTGTGGGGTGGGGTGAGGTTGGGGTGGGAAGGGGTGACAACCATTATTGGCATGAGTATATTATGATATCACAATATATACTACCACATCATAGTTATTAAATGTCGGTTTCAGGGTGACGCCTCGTCAACGTTGTGTAGATCATTGATAAATTTGACCTTCATTTATTTCAGTATACCCAAGGATGCCCCAAAGTTCCTCGAACACCCAACCATTGTCGATATCGGAAAGAAATATGGCAAATCTTCAGCTCAGGTATTGGAACATAGCAATACGTCAAAAGGGTCACACAAAGCATAAATCTTCATTTTGAAAAGTAACTACTTTTGACTGGTCAATCAGAAATTACAACTCACAGCAATGCAAACAATCTATAATAATGCCAAAGAAGATGCTGACGATGATCAGCTGATGGTCTTAATAGTTAATGTAGAGTATATGAAATAACTTACCGTATCGAACTAGCAGGAAAACCAGACAGATCCATGAATTAATGTGCATGCTTTGAAGGAGCGAATCTTGAACCATGATCATTAATTGAAGGGCTGTTTTCTCGTCCACTCGAAGTCCTGTGTTGATATTTGTAGAGTTTAGCAGCATTAGTATTACAAAAGAACCACCAACCGTGAAAACATGTGTTTCGTGTGTATTGTAATTGCTATAATTATAATGGTTTTAAAGATCTATTCTTCAAACAGTGTGAAATAGAGAAACAGAAAAAACGGTCCTGTCAGTCTGAAATATAATCTCAAACATACCACAAACGAAATATTACCATAAACAATCGGTGTATTCTCTTTTTGCCTGCACTTTAATTGGCTATAAGCGGATTAGGATTAACAGTCCAGTGCTTGCAGAATTATAGTCTGTTCGAGTAAGTGGTATTCTCTCACCACCAAGTTCACTCACTGACCACACTGAACACAGTTCATAATGATTAGTGAACTCAGTCATTGACAGTAATCAAATATGACATGAGGCATAGGGGTATAAAGCAACAATTTAGTTTACGACAAGTCATTCTACAATGGCAAAGGCATGTGTTCATTTTGTTCCCAATTCCTGGGGTGGCCAGAGTTTAGTATTCCATGGTTATGAGTTTAGAGTGAAATCAAGAAGAAACCAAACTGTCCACTGGAGATGCTGTAAGATCATGCTACATGCAATATTAGTAAAATTAAAAATGTCACCATATTTCTCAAATGATTCATATTTGTACATTTATTGTATTTGCGGGTGTTATACCCAATAAACTAAATGTGATAAACTTTACCGTTTCTCCTTATTTGCTGGCATACATGCATTTCTAATATAGACTATAGCTTTAATCCCCATTGTTATAAGGATTAGTACGATCCATTGATTTTAATCCTTAAACAATACCTGCAGGCAAAAAGAGAACACCCCAAACAATCTTGGTTGTATTGCCTAAATGATATATCAAAAATCTAATAAAAAGCGTCTACATTTTACAGAAACGGGTTTTATAAAATGCGAAACAAAATTGATTTTGCGTGCGACGTTTCGGAATTTGTTTGTCCCTTGAGACCATCTTGAAGAAGGGAAGACATTCTTCATGCTGACATTGACAACACCGTAACGCCGAGACATCACGGCACCGGTAGTGATGCATTTGACAATCGTTTCCCGTGTCGTGACAAGGTATGTATCCCATTAGCTTCTCATACCATATTCCCAAATCCACTGTTTTCAAGTTTACAAAAGTGTAAATTACATGTATGCCTTCTGAGATAATTCATTGAGTGTGCATTGAAACTGGGTGACGGCCGAGGGAAGATACAAACTTGTTTGATATCTAAGGAACTTTGGTTTTCAAGCTGTGCTACCACAACGCCTTTAATACGTGGCTCGGAATGTATCATACCCATGTTAAAGTGGTCAATGTATGAACGTCCCAATCTGTATTTCTCGATGTAATAAGCGTATTGCTTTGGTGTTTTGGATTATTCCGATTCAGATGTTTTCTGTCACAAAAAGGAAAGAAGGAATATAAATAAATTCAAACTAAATAGACTTAGAATTAATTCTATTTCAACTTCTGATTACAGATCTGCCAAACATGGAACTGTTTATTTAATGCAACTACAAAACCAGAGACGGTCATGTAACTGGCCATCTAGGACTGACTGACTGAGTGAGTTTAGTTTTACGCCGCTTTTAGCAATATTCCAGCAATATCACGACGGGGGACACCAGAAATGGGCTTCACACATTGTACCCATGTGGGGATTCGAACCCGGGTCTTCGGCGTGACGAGCCAACGCTTTAACCACTAGGCTACCCCACCGCCCCATATAGGAAGAAAAGGAAGCGAAGTTACAACCAGCAGTGAACAAGTACACACTCGGGAAAGCTCACCAGGTGACTTGTTGACAAATATGCGGTGTTCAGTGGCAAAAAATGAGTGGCTTCTCTCAAGAAGAGCATGTGACACTGAATATTACAACAAGAAGAAGGCACACAAGCAAGACAATCTTGAGACTACAACAACAACGACAACAACAATATAATGGGGGTTTTTTCTACTTTGAGAACTGACGTCTATTTGTATAAAAGTAAAGGTCTGCGGTTTCACAGAATGTTCATAGCTACGTCTTTGAACCAGGCTGTAACCGTTGGCCTAGGGACAAGGCAACAGTATAGGTAGGAATTCAGATCAGGTTGACCCCAGCTTCTGTTTCAACGTTGAAATACAGCAGCTAACCCGCTCTTTGATGACATACAAGAAGGCTTCACTTGTGATTTCAGTAGCGTTTACTGTTTTGGTTTCCTTAGAGGGGCACAGAAGCAAGCACAGCAATGTGAACTTTAACCGTTTAGGACATGACGGTCCCGAAAGTTAAAGAACCGCATCATGTTTTCGCATGTCATGGCCCAAAGGATCCAGTCTCCATCCCTTTGCAAAATGTAGAGAGTATGTATGTGGAGTATGTCTTGAAGTACTCAAAGATCACAGTTGGTTTAATGGGTATTGCAATGGCCATCAACAAGAGACATTGCTCACATACAAATTAGAGGTGGACCATCCCAAACGATTCACAGAGGCTATGCATCTCAAATCCAAACAAAGAAGACTGGAAGTAAAAGGAGTCTATTGAGGTGTAGGGAATTTTACAAGAAAGTCATGATTAATACGTCATTTGTCAAAGCTCATTCATCTGGAACCATCCCAGTCTCCAAGTCATCTATGACCTCAACTTTCCTGTAACCTGTATATATGTTATGCGCTTAGAGCATGTCCTGGGTGATTAACTATAAAAGTACTCTTATTATTATTATTATTATTATCTGTTCGTACAGCAGTAGATAGGGCATGTGTACGAGTGAGTGAGGTTAAACACTTCATCAAATAATACTGCAGCAGCATCACGGTTATGCCCCAATATCGCGGTTGTGTATAAGAAGACATATTATTTGGCTATACCTTTCCTCAATAGTTCTATGGACAAATACAAAGACTTTAGTTATCTACAGATGTGTATCCTAATATGTATTTAAAATATATTTTCACCACGATTGTATCTATAAATGAATATTTTCCAGAAAAATCATGACTACTTTTTTTCACTTTGTTCTCTGTCGTTATGTTTTATGTTATTAGCAGTGCGTGTGTATGTGAGCCTGCGTGCGTGCGAGCGTGCGTGCGAGCGTGCGTGCGAGGGAGAGAGCATGCAGTCGACACTGAAATCCATTAGCTGTGAACCCTCCGAGTTTTGACACAACAACGAGGGGGGCTAGGTTCATCTTCATTTTAAACATTTTGAGTGATCCTTAAATACTTTAGATCGTTGATCCATGACTCTCTATTTGGAGCTGACATGCACCACGGTAATTACAGCCAGGGACATTATTTGCCATGACGAGCCAGTGGTCAAGTATTCCCCTTACTGGCCAGACGAGTCGGCTGTTATTGACTATTATAACACTGGATAAACCTGGCCGGGTGATAATATCCCTTGGGATTGTAATTAGGGGACAAACGCTGTTTCCTCGTACAATGTGAACACAGTTCTGAATGCCAACAGCTGAGACCTCCTTTCAAACGGGTCAGGCTGACATTGGTGTTTCTTACATAACGGACCGAATAACATAATCGTTTGTCTGTAACTAATATATTCAAGACCTACAGCCTGCAGCTGTCTTAACAACGATGCATTGTTGCTGTATAATATACTGAAATGCAAAAGAAACGTCGTAATATTGGAAATGACATTAAAGTTTCAATGGAGTATTTGAACCTATTTGTTTTAAATATAGCCATAGCTGCTGTGTTCAGAAAAAAGTGAACGATTGCCATTCAAGCCGGCAATTTATGCCTGAATGCATGCATGATGCACGTGCATCTCGATTTCAGTGTTGTGTTTGTGTGAACTCTTTCCTTTCCACAACCAAGAACATTTTAAACCTCAATCTCAAACAATACTTTATTGGGCAAAACAGTCTGTACGACCAGGATTCATGTTTTCCTCAAACTTGACTTCTAGTGTATATTTAAAACAAATAGGTTCGAATACTCCTTTCAGTATATATCTCGTAATGGTATTATCTACGATAAACAACTGCTCTTTACAGATGTTGTTAACGATGTAATCTTGTTCCTGGCAGATGGTTTTGGTTACGTATTAAAGAACTACTGATTTATTTTTTGTATGTTTGCGATGTACTGCTGACCCACATTTTACTTTGTGTATCAGGTGATCCTCAGATGGGGCATACAGAGAGGCTATGCTTTGGTTCCTAAGAGTACGAATCCATCTCGTCTGGCCCAGAACATGGATGTGAGTGATAATTCCCTTACTTTATTATAATTCAAAGGAACATGGGATTTAGTTTGCGTTGCGCTTTATATGACTGGCGTATAAATTATTCCTTTCAAGAGAACACCAGACACTCAAAACGGTGAAGATAAAACAGGTTCCATGTGGTTTCAGCCAAACGCTTCACTCATTATATTTATATGTGAAACATACTTTTAACGATCAAATCAACATGTTTCAGATATTTGACTTTGAGCTCAGCAAGGAGGATATGAAGGCAATGCTAGCTCTGGACAAAGGCTACAGAGTCAACCATGAACAGTTCCTACCGTAAATATCATTATATCAATATCGATATGCATACAGAAGGACAGTGGTATTACTTAAACAAGTTAATTAGCAAAAGCATGAAAAGTATAGCGTAAATTTAAGAACATTTGTTAATTTTATTTTGTACACCAGTCTGTCTCAGTCCCGGGACCACATTATTTTCCCTTCCACAAATCTTTTTCTGCAGAGGGACAGCCTAATATAAAAGGAAATCTAGATGTTCCTAAGATTTAGAATTTCAATCTCACTGTTGCTCCATTTCCAATTTAAATGTAATTAAGCGTTAGTCTTCAAAAAACATTAAAAACTTTTCTTATATCGGGGGGTTGGAGGATGTTGGGGAGCCCAGTGGTTAGCCTCGTTCGTCAAGCCGAAGACCCGGGTTCGATTCCACACATGGGTACAATGTAGGAAGTCCATTTGCTGGACTATTCCTAAAAGCGGCTTAAAGTAAACCCATTCTTTGTATCTGCATGGTACTGCAAAATAATACGGAGTTGACAGTCTTAGCATATGAAGTTGAGTGGGCTGTATGAAGATAACTATACTTGAATAAGATGTTTGCTTTTTGTATGTATATTGTTTAACGACGCACTCAGCAATATATCAGCTATATGACGACGACGACGACGACTATCGCATACGTAACGTCAATACACAGGCTTGTTTGTACAGACAAAGCTTTCAGTAGCGTCATTATTCCTGTGTTTCAGATGGAAAGACCATCCCTTTTATCCCTTTGAGAAGTAAACGTGCACGGCACAGTCAAACAATCGACGACGGTCAGTTTATTGTCTGCAAGAGTTGTAACCAATATGTCATAATTATATGAAGAGAAATTAGCTGACATGAAGAAGTGAACTGGGACAGCACAGATTACAAAGTCAGAAAATCACCACGGCCAGAGAATTGTCTGCAACAGAGCTTCCTATTATTTGTGTGGTCGTCTTCAGTATGAAACAAAAGCATTTGGACTGTAATTGTAAGGACTTTGAATAAATATATATCATGATGACATTGTATACTTACGAAATGTAATTTAGTTTCCCATGTAATTAAGTAATTAATTAGTGAATTCAGGGAGCTGAGGATACAAATCTGTAGTGTACGGTAGTGGACTGTAAACTGCCTGTGATAAACATGCAGCATCGCTTTGAGCATTATATATGGTGCATTTATTATAGATATGTACATCAATGAATGAAGGATATGATAATAAAAATCCATCCGCAAAAAAATACATTGATCCACTGGCTCATTTTTGAAGATGCACAGTAGTGAGTGAGTGAGTTTAGTTTTACGCCGCACTCAGCAATTTTCCAGCTATATGGCAGTCTGTAATATTCGAGTCTGGACCAGACAATCCCGTGATCAACAGCATGGGCATCGATCTGCGCAATTGGGAACCGATGACATGTGTCAACCAAGTCAGCGAGCCTGACTGCCCGATCGCGTTATTCGCCTCTTACGGATCTTCACGGGTATGCACAGTAGTAGTAGTAGCAGCAGCAGTAGTAGTAGCAGTAGTAGTTCATGCATGTCGCCGTTGCATTAAACAATGACGGGGTACAACGAGACGTCGGGAGGTAGAGGTAATATTGTGTAACGACATTTGGGAGTAATTAAATTAATATGGTCAGCAACTCAACATTCACATCAATTAATGAAAGCAAAGGTGTACTTTTAAATCTAGACACGATTATAGATATGATATATTCATTCTGAATTAGGTTTCTCTGTATGACTGAATGTCCAATGGATTCAGAAAAACAAACACACACACTCCCCCTACACCCTTGCCCCCTCCCCTCTCCGCACACACGCTCCCTGAATGCCACGTGACAATACAACTTGCATAACACCGACGTGAAATAGCACATCGTGAAAAGGCTTTTATTCTAGATCTGTTTCCATGGAAACACCTAACATACACACCAACCGACGAGTCATGTGAGTAGCATCAGCACCTGGTCTGCTCATCCAATTAAAGACACTTCTTTTGTCATTCCTCCTCCTCGTTCCTCGACTGCTGTCTACCTCGTGCCTCAGACGCACACAGTTGCTCGCTACAGTTACCAACTCTCTCAGGTTAGTTTCATGTGAACACAAGTTGATATAGCCTTACCACATCGTGTCCTGTTGTATCACTGAAGACATACACTACTGACACCGGGTGGTCGAGACATGGATAAGAAGTCCTTCACTACTGCTAGACGAATCTTGTCCTCTTATAATACCGCGTGTTAGACTTCCGTACAAACCCAAGATAATCCTCTCTAACATAGAGTACATGAAATATAACTAACTTTAAATTTCACGAATTCCATAAGTGAACCTGGAGTATTAAGGAACCCTCAAGTTAGCTGATCCCGGGTGGTTATTTACAGGTGAGGTGAGGTGAAATTGGGTTTTACGTCGTGCTTGAGAATATTTCGCTCATATGACGACGTGCATGCGTGTGTATGTGTATGTGCGGCTGCTTGTACTAGCCCAGACTTAAGCTGGTTTTATAGTGCTAGCCCACTGAGATACCATGCCGCAGTGAAGCATGAATACCCCTCTCAGACACTTTATACTGACTCCCGAGCCGACCAGTCCATGTTGTACCCATTAATGCCGAGCGCCAAGCAGGGACCAACAAGTACCATATTTTAACGTCTTTTGGTATGACGCGGTCGGGGATCGAACCCGCGACCTTCCGCTCTCCGGGCGGACGCTCTAACCACTACACCACGGAGGCGGTCGGTAATTTACAGACTTCACAGTTTAGTTCTGCACCTACTGATTTCTGTGTTTAAGTTCGAATATTGGTCTGGGAATCCACATGTTTTTGTTTATTTGTTGTTTAACGCCGCACTCAGCAATGTTCCAGCTATAGGACGGCGGTCTGTAAATAATCGACTTTGAACCAGACTATCCAGTGACTGATATCATGAGCATCTGCATGCGCAACTTAGATACGATGACGTGTCCACCGAGACTGACCACCCGATCCCTTTAGTCGCCTCTTGCGACAAGCATGGGTTACTGAAGACTAATTATAGCCCGGATCTTCACGAGTGGGAATCCACATGTAACAATATAAGATGTCTTGTAATTTCTCAAAGCTGGGAATTGGAGGAGAACAGGCTGCTACTGCTGAGAATGCGATGTAAATAGACTGGGGTGATCGTTTCCGTAACTATATGTTGTTGGTCGGTGGATCACCACTTCATCAGGTTGCTAATCTTTTCAACACAATCCCCGCTGTTTACTGGCCAAAAATGTTGGAGTATGTGGGATGAAGAGTAGAAAGTCAAACTGACGTGGTATTTCATTAAGGTGAGAATATATTCTTACAGGTAACTATTCAAGCTCAACCACAATAGGTAAGCTAAAATGTTTGTATAGTAGACTCTCCAAAATCTGTCCAATCCGATTTTCTTGTCAGCTTGAAAGCGCAGGGGCTTGTAACGCTAAAAACTGCCATCAAGGTATATACTGTCACTGATGTTAAAGGATCCTTTTATATAGTACTATGACCCCGTCAGTGACAGTATACACCTTGATGGCAGTTTTTAGCGTTACAAGCCCCTGTGCTTGAAAGAACTGTCGTCAGAGTTGTATATTTTTATTTACCCATCAATCGGTCTTGCAAGAGTTTGTAAATAATATTTCTGGAGCTGGGGTTTCGTCTTAAAACAAATGTTCATAATGAACTGGCTTAAAAATCAATTTGCAATCGCATGATCACTTCCATGTCTAAATTTTGAACTTTGCGCCACCAAAATTCATGTTTATTGATGTTAAAGATAGTAAGCTGTCGAAGATAAGCATTAGCTGTTGTGTTGTGCTAACAAATTCTTTTAAATTTGTTTAAAGTTCGTTATGAAATGTTATTAAATATATAAGTATGTAGAATGAAAGATGTATTCTTTGAGTGCTGAATAAGCGCCAGTGTACCTTATTTCGCGATATGTATATGGCGAAATTGAGATATTTTCAACTGAAAATCATACCTACTCCTGGGCTAAATGTAGACATAGCGTCAAAATCATGTAATATGATACCCCAGCCCTTAACACCCATACTGCACATGTTGACCATGTTGAACACCAGTGTTTGTCACCGTCCATTAGACCATGCGGTTCATACTCACGCAGTTGGTCTAGGAATATGTGGACACTGTCTCAACAGTGGGGTAAACCTGGTTTGTTTTTCTGTGGCTAGTTCCAAAACAAGAACTTTTGGAGGGTGGGAAGTGTCATTCTAATTACTGGATAACAACTTTACTGCTGATGAGAGATCCTAAAAGCAGAGACTATATAATAAATATTATATGGTCTCTGCTAATAGATAGGGGCGTTTCTAGCATTTGACCTAGGGCTATACAGATGACGAAAGATACCGTATCTTTTGCCTCCCTGTTCATGTTAATCGTGAAATGAAAACTTATAAAATTTAGACTGTTAATGTATATATAGATATCATATTAAAATGAAAGACGGGAGATGTACATGTGCAGATGTACATTTAGACTCACAGATCACTGAAGATGTACACTAATGACACCGGGTGTTCGAGACATGGATAAGTATGTCCTGCACTACTTTATAACTTTCTTATAACACAACCTTTCCGTCAAGAAATATATCGCAATTAGTTTATATCCGTAAATTATTATTCTTAATTATATTCAGTGTAGATACTGCATTAGCTGATCGCCGCGAAAAAATTAAAAATGTAAAACGCATTACATTTCATATTGTCACTCCAGCTGTAAAGCCTCTTTCGCAAATCTTACTGCTAACATTAACATCAAAAGTCAGTCAGGGCGCCGGGGATTAGCGTGTTAACTTGACGTCACAGAGTCGGCACATGTGGTCTGTCCGACTGTGAGATACGGGTCATTTTTTTAACATAATACATCAATGTGATTCTTAAATAATGATACCACCACCCAGTGTGCGAAATAGTTTCCAAATTTTGAAATGCCTGAAAGTTGCTAGCCCACAAAAATATTCATTGGCCGGAAATTTGAATGTAGACACGGGTTTCATCATTAAGCTGCTAATATGATGAACATTTTTATCAGGCCATAATCTTGCTTGATCTAAAAGTGTACTACAACTTAACAAGTCGGAGAGAGTGATTTTCATGTATTTACAAAATGACCCAAAGAAAATCCACTAGCCATTCTGGCCAGTGACTGTGGATATTTACTGGCCCGACTGGATTTATACAAGCCACGGGCTAGCGGGCTAGTGGCTATTTCGAACACTGCCACCACCCATGGTTACAGCCGGTAAACCGCTAACAGATTGGGTGTTGTGAAAGATACGAATTCGTAATCTTACGTAATGTAGCTTAACGAGGGTCAGGGACCCCTTTACACAAAGCGCAAACGACCTTCGTAAAGTCTTGTTTAAAGTATGAGAGTTAAAATAACCTGAGCGCCACGACCGCTTTCTGAAACGGATCCTTTAGTATTATTGTACTGCTGTCGGCGGCGGCTATTTCTCTTTGGCCTCCACCGATAAATGCCAACAACTACAACGACCTCTCTGATTTTCAAGGTGAGGAACTAATTAACGTTCGCTATCTACAAGCGTTAGGTTTACATTAGGTCTATTTCGACTATATTGTAGCTCTGTAGTACTCAAAGATACGAACATGCTATATGTATAGTGTTTTATGAATATATTTGCTCGTCCATATCAAAATATTACTGTGTGTACCAATTTCAAAACTAGTACGTTCCCACACCCAAGAACAAATATTCATGACAAATACGTGTTAAATATATATGGGTTGGCTCTATTGTTAATTGGTTATGACCTGAAAGATGTTGTCAGTTCTACATGTTCGTGTCAGCTATCCACGCATGATAGCATAAGATCGTGTACCATAATATGGACAGGGTTTTTGCATGAATCGCCTGTGACATAATTATCTGTTTAACGTGTAAGTGCCTTGTATCGTTACACAGCAACATCTGTTCGTTTAACCACCTCTTGTCCACCCAATAAACCATTGTGATGTTCATATCGACGTGTTGCACTCCAGAGCTGCCTTCTCCGTTTTCCAAGATCATAGCCAGTCTTGACCGCTCTGTTACCGTTCATTCACCCAAGAGACAACGTCAACTGCGAGAGGATCCCTTCATTGACCAGATCAATGACTGAGAGAATACAGGAGAATCACATTATTATCAAGTACGCAAGTGCGAAAACAAACCAAACGCCTTAAACCAGTCAGGCACTAGTCAAACAAAACGCTCAAACCTGTCAGGCAACCTTCAACCAAAACGCCCCTCAAACCAGTCAGGGATCCGTCAAACCAAACGCTCAAACCCCTCAGGCACCAGTCCACCAAACGCTCAAACCAGTCAGGTACCAGTTCACCAAACGTTCAAACCAGTCAGACTCAAGTCAAACCAAACGCCCAAACCAGTCAGGCAACCTTCAAAACAAACGCACCTAAAAACCAGTCAGGCCCCAGTCAAACCAAACGCCTCAAATCAGTCAAACCATTTCAATGCTATTTTGCCAAAATGACCCTGTTCGTCGGAAAACCGGGACAGGATCCTTGAGTACAAATTGACAGGGGTCTTTAAATATTCACGTTTGGACGAGTTAACTTGTTGCTGACAGCCGTCCAGGTTTCACGATACACCGTCAATCAGACCACACACTATCACCTCTTACTTTTACCAGGGGTTACTTGGAACATAGATCTATCTGACCCGAAATCTCCTAGGACCAAACGGTCGTCAACGATTGTTGTTCTTCGAAGTAGTTTACTTGTAGTGGATATGTGGTAACGCCCTCGAACGAGATGATGACATAACTGTACAATGGAATATTATACATAAATCGATAAATGAGGTTTCCATTTACTCAACAAACGACTGTTTCCGAATCACGCGAGATTCAAACCTTGTTTAGTTACTTCATGTACTCTATTAATCTATTCCTCACGGACACATCCACAAACTGGGAAACGCTTATCACAAACTGAGATCAATATCCTAATGTCAAGATGTAGGAATGTAACCCTGGTATAAGAGCAAGCGTCTGGACTATATTCCTCCCTATACCGCTGGTATCTGTATTGATGCCCCCCTGCAGTGTACCAACGTTATAACGAGAGAAATGCACATACATGCATGGCTGCGTTCAGTGTGACGACTGGGATGAGTACAGCGCCATTACGGAAGAGTGACGTCTGAAGGAGACGTGCAACAGTCGTGTATCATCATCAACTGCGCCGGGAGCATCCATCGAGCTGTGAGCTGCTCCACATCGCTTACTCGCTAATAGCATATCAGTGCATTTTAGAAGCAGTCTGCTATTATTATTGTATAACTAGGTCACAGTTGTATTTTTTAACTATAACCTTTCAGGCGAGTCGCACAGTAGTGGAGTCTGCTCACTTCAATTGATGAGGTAGGCGGTGGTGTTTGTTTTTAGGCATGTGTTTACGTCTATCAGTGGTTTGTGCTAAAGCAACATGTAAATGCTATCGTCAACGTATGCAACGACTTAATCAGTGTTCTGTGTTTGTGTTACAGCAACATGTGCGACGACAGGATCATCGTTCATTCATCTGAAGCCACAATTCCATCCCTGCTGAAACGCTTGTCGGCTATTGAACCAGAACGACCAGCATACATCTTTGTTGGGAAAAATATGAGAACTGTTCTCAGTCGAAAAAATGTTTATATGCAGTCTGGAAAAATGGCAGCGAAGTTGCGCCGACTTGGTGTATGCAGAGGAGATGTTGTTGCCAACATGTTGTCGACTAGCCCCGACAGGCTTATCTGTGACTTTGGAGTATTAATGGCAGGTGGTGTATCACAAACTGCTCTTGGATATTTGAACAATGCAGACGACACATTTGGCGCGCTACAGATTGCGCAGGCGACAACCATATTAGTGGATCCCGGTGTTAGTGCGGTACTGGCAGTCGTCATGAAGCTGATTTCTTCGTCCCAGAAAACCGAGTACGGACTGGATGTTGAGTGTGCGGAACTCCCTCACCTCAAACGAGTTGTATTTATTCATTCAGTTGAAACTCAGCTTCAAACGGAAACGGAGATGTTTGTGGAAGACGTACGACCTGCTGATTTCGCCGTAATTGTTGAGACCTCTGGCACTTCCGGTGTGTGTAAACAGGTTCCTCACACCCATAACGCAATTGTACGTTTCGGGGAACAAATGTGTTTTCTTATCGGAGACAAAGGATCGCCTTTCTACAACGACAGATTCTTTGGGTGGTTCCCAGGGTATCCGTGCGTCTACCCCTGCTCGGGAATAACAAGAGTAGCGCTTGACACTCGAGACAATAACCTTCCTCCAATTCTGGACGTTATCCGCGAGGAAGGTTGTCGTTCCGCTTACCTTGTTCCAAATGAAATAGAAGACGTCGTCCAATCAGGGATGACACTAGAAACTACGGACATGCTAGAAGTGGTACTGACAGGGGGTCAACCGATACTGGGGAACAGCATGAGGATCATAGGATCACTGACCAAGAAGGTTGCCTGTCGGTACGGAATGTCGGAGACGATGTGTATATGCCATCTGTCTGTGGACGACCCTGGGCAGTTCCTTGACCACTGTGTAGGATTCCCCATGCCATCATATCACGTTCGGGTTGTGGATGACAATGGACGCGATGCGAGTCCTGGCGTCAAGGGGAGCATCTTGGTGAAGGGGGATGGAGTGTTTCAGGGGTACCTTGTTCATAATTCCAACCTACAACCTATCAATCAGGCGGGTGTGAAATTGACAGCTGACTGCGAAACAAAAGAGGAAACTAATATGGTTGGGAAATGGTCAGATGGAGATCGTTTAAGCCAAGCAGCATTTACTGACGACGGATGGTTTCAGACTGACGACATAGGCTCCTTTGATTCGGCGGGGAAGTTGTTCGTGGATGGACGCAGTTCTGATGCAATAATGCATGGGGATGAAATCCTATACCCTTACTGGTTAGAACAAATCGCACGACGGTGTCCTGCCGTCCATGATGTGGTTATAGTTCCCGTAAAAGACCCCGTTTTGTTTCATGAAATATGTGCCTGTATCAAGCCGACTGACGGGTTTCGGGATCCGTTGTCGGAAATTCAGAACCTACATGTCTCTTCAGTTTGCTACTATACCACACGAAGACTGCAGCATAAGGCCGAAGTATTATCTACTATTTGACACATTCCCCATCAATAAGAACGGAAAGCCCGACCGGAGGAAGCTTTCTCGCCAGGCCGAGATCCTGCTTCATATATGATTGAAATAGTCTGAAGGATAATAGTGTTCTGTTTTTTGTAAAAGGGGCGGTGAGGTAGCCTCGTGCTGAAAACGCTTGCTGATCACGCCGGAAGCCTGGGTTCGATTCTTTCAACATGGGTACGCTATATGAAGCACATCTCTGCTGTGATATTGCTGGGATATGTTGAAAGTAGTAATGAACCACACCCACTCTGTGATGTGACACGTGGTTTGACCAGATTATCTCTAGTTCTAAATCCACTGTAACTTGTGAGCATTTGTCCTCCCGTATGAGGTACAGAGTACCTCTTAGTTGGAGACACGTATCTATACGTTAATGTATATAACACTGTATAACCCTCCCGACATAGGATGCTTGTCGTTAGAGGCGACTAACGGGGTCGGGGGGTCAGGCTGGGATGTTCCCATTTCGCCTACATCCCATTTCGCCTACAGTAGTACAAAGAACTGGACGCTAGACTGACTCGCTTGAAGGACCAGTTAGCAACTGGAAGAAAGACAGTGCTGCAGTTTCTGGACGCAGCTGGACATTTAATTAAACTGCAAATACATTAGATTTGTTGAGAACAATGATATAAACTTGATATCTTCAGTGACTTGATATATTTGTGCTTATGTGATTTGATATAACTTGATATGTTCAAGTTTATGATTACATGTATATTATTTGATATATACTTGAGATATATATATATATATATATTATGATTACATGTATATTATTTGATATATACTTGAGATATATATATATATACTATTAAAATGGTCAGACCAACTCAACCCGACTCACAAGTTTGTTTCTCATTATTTGGGTTAGTCCATTAAACTACAGTGAACAGCATACAAATCCTATGTTCACTCAAGTGTAAATTTGTTTTGATAAGGGTGTAGGCGAAATAGGAACAAGCCGTCAGGCTCACTGACTTGTTTGACACATATAATCGTATCCCAATTGCGTAGATCGATGATCATGCTGTTGATCAATGGACTGTCGATTATTTACAAACTGCCATCACATAACTGGAATATTGCTGAGTGCGGTGTTAAATAACAACAACAACCGATACAGGTCGGATCTGGACAGCATAATATAAGACCCCAGTCTAAAGTCGTCATCATTAACTTGGCAGAAAGAACGAAAACAATATGCAGCCTGTCAATTTGCAGGTTTTCATATTCAGTGAGTGAGAGTGAGTTTGCTTTAACGCCGATTTCAACATATTCTAAATATCACCTCGTGTCAGCTTTATCTGGAAGGAAGTCCCCAACGTTGAAGGTTTCAGAAGTCCAGCCACGACACATGATCGGGGCTAACCCTGATTTGAACTCACGATCATTGATTTCTTGCGTGTCCAAGAAACGAAACTTGGCACACCGAATTGCAGCGCCATAGACGACAGGGCTACCCTTTCCCACATTATACATTCAGAGTCATGTGGACACCCTGTACAATATAGGGAGGGGTGCACTATTGAGAAAGGAGGGATGGTCATTTAATAAACTTTCAGCACCCCTGCAAACCCACCCCCCCCCCCACACCACCACCACCCTGGATCCGCCTATGAAAATAAGGTGACATTTCATAAATCAATGTTGCATCTCTTTGTATAATAGAATATGTTTGATTATGTTATTCCTGTGAGACAAAAGGTTACTTTAAATCTATCCATGGATGAAGCTATGGTTTAAAAAGTTGATGTCATGCTCTATTCACAAGGTACGTAAATCTCATTTGGAACCGACGATATGTTTCCGGTTTAAGAGCAAACATCAGCATGTGGAAGTCGAAATACATGTATTCGCGGAAATGCATTCACCTCTTTGTTGTGGAATGATATATTCTAACTGATCACGAACATGTAATAAATATGTTGAAAAGAATGATACTCCGTAAAATTGCTGAAGATACAGAGATAATAGAACGCCGAGTGAGTGAATAACTAATTTTAACAGTGCTGCGAGTGAATGAGTGCTTGTCACAAATGCTCCCGCCATGTCATCGCGATCTCTGCATGAACTCATTGACCGACTGTTTGTGAGACCACTGTTCCGTGGATGGCGGAAGTCAACACGGACTTATCTTAGATGCTCAACAAAATATCCCCCTGGGGACAAATTTGGGTGAAATGGTTATTTTGTTCGAATTTTGGATTTGTTTTAAGTTCATATATTCCGAGATATTTGAGAATGTCACTGACCAAGAAGGTTGCCCGGTCGGTAATGGAATCGTCGGAGACGATGTGGTATATGCCATCTGTCTGTGGATTTCGACCCTGGGCAGTCTTCGGACTACTGCAGGATTCCCATGCCATCATATCACGTTCGGGTTGTGGATAAATGATCGCGGGGAGGTGAGTCCTAAGGCCAAGGGGAGAATCTTGGGTGAAGGGGATGGAGGTTTCCAGGGTACCTTGTCTATAACCCAAACTCTAAGCAACCTACTCAAACAGGTGCGCGGTGTGGAAATTGACAGCCGACTGCGAAACAAAAAGAGGAAACTAATATGGTTGGAAATGGTCAGATGGAGATCGTTTGCCTTTAAGCAGCATTTACCGACGACGGATGGTTTTGCAGACTGACGACATAGGCCCCTTTGATTCGAAGCGGGGAAGTTACACTCCGTGGATGGACGCAGTTCTGATGCAACAATGGCTGGGATGAAATCCTATACCCTTACTGGTTAGAACAAATCGCACGACGGTGTCCCGCCGTCCATGATGTGGCTATAGTTCCCGTAAAGACCCCCCGTTTGTTTCATGAAATATGTGCCTGTATCAAGCCGGACTGACGGGTTTCTTGGGATCCTTCGGGTTGCCGGAAACTCAGACTACATGTCTCTTCAGTTTGGGTTAATATACCAATACCTTAAAGACAAAGTATAAGCGTCGAAGTATTATCTACTATTTGGACACATTCCCACCAATAAGAAACGGAAAGCTCGGACTGAGGAAGCTGTCTCTGCCAGGCCGAGATCCTGCTTCATATATATGATTGAAATAGGCCCAAGCTGATGGGATAGTGTTCGCTCTTGCGTAAAGGGGCGGTGGAGGGTGTAGCCTCGTGCTGAAAACGCTTTGCTGATCACACTGGAAGCTCCATATCTGATTCTTTCAACATGGGTACGTTGAGTATGAAGCCACATCCTCTGCTGTCCTGAGAAGCAAGGATATTTGCCAGTGATATGCTGAAGCGCAGTAGTAATGAACCAATAATCACCCCAGGATAAGGACTCGTGGTTTGGACCAGATTTCATTCTAGTTCTGTAAATCCACTGTAACTTGTGAGCATTTGTCCTCCGTATGAGGTACAGAGTACCTTTTTAGCTGGCAGACACGTATCTATAATGTTAAATGTATATAATGACTTTTGTAACCCCTCCTCGACATAGGATGCTTGTCGTTAGAGGCGACTACACGTGGGTCGGGGGTCAGGCTGGGATGTCTCCATTTCGCCTACAGTAGTACAAGGAACTGGACGCTAGACTGACTCGCTTGAAGGACCAGTTGTATAACTGAAGAGAAGACAGTGCTGCGGTTTCTGGACGCAGCTGGACATTTAATTAAACTGTTGCAAATACATTAGATTTGTTGAGAACCATGATATAAACTTACATATCTTCAGTGACTTGATATATTTATTGTTTATGTGATTTGATATAACCATATGTTCAAGTTTATGGATTACATGTATATTATTTGATATATACTTGAGATATATATATATATATATATTGCAGTAGATAAATAAAAACAGAATGCCGTTTTCTCCAATATTTACGATATAGTATATATACTATTAAAATGGTCAGACCAACTCAACCCAACTCACAAGTTTGTTTCTCATTATTTGGGTTAGTCCATTAAACTACAGTGAACAGCTACAAATCCTATGTTCACTCAAGTGTAAATTTGTTTTGATAAGGGTGTAGGCGAAATGAGATGTAGGCGAAATTGGAACAAGCCTACCCTTTCCCACATTATACATTCAGAGTCATGTGGACACACTGTACAATATAGGGAGGGGTGCACACTATTGAGAAAGGAGGGATGGTCATTTAATAAACTTTCAGCACCCTGCAAACCCACCATCTCCCCACCCCTGCCACCACCACCCTGGATCCGCCTATGAAAATAAGGTGACATTTCATAAATCAATGAAAATCTATCCATGGATGAAGCTATGGTTTAAAAGTTGATGTCATGCGCTCTATTCACAAGGTACGTAAATCTCATTTGGAACCGACGATATGTTTTCGGTTTAAGAGCAAAACATCAGCAAGCATGTGGAAGTCGAAATACATGTATTCAAGCGGAAATGCATTCACCTCTTTGTTGTGGAATGATATATTCTAACTGATCACGAACATGTAATAAAATATGTTGAAAAGAATATGATACTCCGTAAAATTGCTGAAGATACAGAGATAATAGAACGCCGAGTGAGTGAATAACTGAGATTTTAACAGTGCTGCGAGTGAATGAGAGTGCTTGTCACAAATGCTCCCGCCATGTCATCGCGATCTCTGCATGAACTTGCATTGACCGACTGTCAGGCTGAGACCACTGTTCCGTGGATGGCGGAACTCAACACCGACTTATCTTAGATGCTCAACAAAATATCCCTGGGGACATATATTTTGGTGAAATCGTTATTTTGTTCGAATTTTGGATTTTTGTAAGTTCATATATTCCGAGATATTTGAGAATGCATTCAAAGCAATAATATAGAACGAATCATTGAAACCTGTTTCTATTTATTCGTAATGTTTTGTGTGAATACAGGTAACTCCTACACAGTCGTAAAGTTAGTTATTAGTTGTACACATTGTAACATGAATGGGGATTTGTTTTAGTTCTAAACAGGTATTTGTATTTGACATTGCCGTCGACGTTATGATAATGATAACACACAACACATGTGCATGCTCAAGCGCTAACTAACGCATTAATATTTACCCAAGATAACCCAAGCCGCCCGTTAGGTGCTAGAAGGTTACAGTCACATGTCTTATCCAACTGGGTACCCATTTTCTACTGGTGAACAGATGTAATTTTGAAGGTCAGACCACATGTATCACATATGCATCGTTGTGGGGCAGAACTCTCAGGAGTCAACACAATCACCCATCCAACGACTCTTGCTTAACTTCAACCACAGGCAAACTGTAGCGCAAATAGGACTGCGTAACAGAAGGAAAACGACCAGTCTTGCATGTAGGAAGACTGGTCATTTCATTTTCTTTGCTGCGCAAACCCTATTTGCGCTACAATTTGCTCTGTGCTTCAACTGATTTGGGACCTGAGCTCTATGCACAGGACCACACACACCACCACATGCCGAATGAGGTGAGTGAGTTTAGTTTTACGCCGCACTCAGCAATATTCCAGCTATATGGCGGCGGTCTGTAAATAATCGAGTCTGGACCTCGATAATCCAGTGATCAACAGCATGAGGCATCGATCTACGCAATTGGGAATCGATGACATGTGTCAACCACGTCAGCGAGCCTGACCACCCGATCCCGTTAGTCGCCTCTTACGACAAGCATGGGATACTGAAGATTCATTAGAACCACATGTCGAATATCAGCGACGAATATCAACAGGTCCAAATATACTCCCCATCAAACGTTTAGACTTACTAGTGTAAATACCAGCCACTTACTTCAGTCAACTGATCTAAACCTTGATTTTGCAAAATATTCTTTACAGTTTAAAGGTACTGTTGTACTGTTTACATGAACTTGATGTATCGTAAAACAAATTCGTAACGTTGAGAAGATTATTATTGTCATGAGTTCAATAAATAATGAAACTCAGTGAAAAGTAGTAGTGAATTCTTAACACAATGTCACACCAGAACGCAGCTGTTCACATGCACGATATTTGCACATGCATATCAGCAATTTGATACATGAGGTCCTCGTGCAATTCATCTGCATAATGTTTGCAGTTGGTTCCCCGAGTAGACGTGGACATAACATATAATAGTGAGAGTGTTTTAAGTGAGTCTAAACTTTTGATGGGTGGTATACATTAATCGCAGAGGATGTAGAATACAACAATTTAAATTTTCGTATTTGTACAGTCAAGTTCAATAATATTATTAGTATGAAGAGTCATTTGACCGTCAGATATTTAAGATTAATGAACGATATTTAAGATGCATAATGAATTACTCAGTTATCAAGTTATGTTCATCATTGTTTAGCGTGACCAAAATTTACTAACCTTACTAGTTTCGGAAGTAAGTATTATGTCATATCATTTTGAAGAAGAGATTTCACACCGGAAACCAGACGGGTAGGTGAAAGACATACTCGAGGGCAAAGTTGTGACCGCACACAACAAAGCAGAATCAGTGATTAAACGTTTACCTGACGCGTTATTGGTGTGGACCAGGGCGCCTCGCTTTCACAAAGCACTAATGTGATCGTAAAGTCACACTAAGGTAACCTTGAGTTCAATGTTAAAGAATGGGAGTTAGGGTTAACCTTAGTAAGGTTGCTTCGTGAAAAGAAGTTTTAGACCCGTGGAATGGCGCTGCCGATCGAATCTAGCCCTACATGGAGTGCTGTCAACGTGGCTAAAAGATTAATCAACGAATTTAAAAGTTTGATTTTTCATGTCTTGTAAGATCCATGATTTTGGCTTGGAATTGCGGAGGTAGCTGTTTTCCCGGTGAGTCGTGGCGTGTAACTTTTGAAATAATGAAGGTGACCTATTTCTCTGAACTTATTTCGTGACCTCAAGAACGTAGTTTGATTGGACAGTCATTTCTAGCACTGTGTCATAGGAATCTGGCTCAAAATAAAGTTTTGGTGTCTACAGCAGATAGCATCTACAGCAGATAGCATAACATAAGTTTGTAGATCAATGACCTATGGAGATCTCTGATTGAACATCACAAAAAACATCCCATTCCATCTACATTCTTTGAGACAAATAACAGCAACACATAATTATGTATTTGCTTATGTTTATTATACATTAAACATAACAACATTACAAGAAGAAGATTCTTGTACGAGTTCAACATCACTTGACCAGTTTGTATCGTTAACATGATCCAGCGTTTATCTCAAACATTTTCCCACTGAATTCACACAATTGCACTGAGAAATGTTCAAGAATGCTTGTATGTAATCTGTGTGAGAAATGTTCAAGAATGCTTGTATGTAAATGGTACAAAACAGTGCTCTTCTCACCTCAGTTAGCTGTATGTAAATGTTTTCATTCATTACACGATGCAATCCAACTTCCACACACTGAAGTAGTTCTGTATGGATACACTTGGTGGCATTTAAAACATAATACTTCAATATATAGTCGACTCAAGTCAATTAATATAACAGTGTCTTTGATTGGCATTTAGAAGAATGTTATAAAGAAGGTTCCTAATTGTTTCATTCACCTGGTGAAGGAGTAAGAATATACTTCGAAACGTTGTGACCCTTCACAATAAAGAAGTTGACATCCATAAAATTCTTGCCAATATAACAGTGGTTTGAGAACTTACATATATGCAAGCATGTTTTTAGTTTACTTACAACAAAGCTTGGTGTTGATCTGTCAAAGGAGCTTCAATAAGGAGATACAAGTGTTCCACTAACGTTAGCAAGAGTAGGGAGACAAGCAAAAATACTTGAGTCAGGATAAGGAAAAATAACTTTTTCTGCGATGCAGCCGAGGATGGAACCACCAACCTTGAGCTCTTCTGCCAGACACTCTATCAGGGTGGTTCTACTTACCTGAGTTAGACACCTATCAGGGTGGTTCTACTTACCTGAGTTAGACACCTATCAGGGTGGTTCTACTTACCTGAGTTGTTGGGCTTGTCTGTGATAATACAGGGAGTAGGAGGGCATCTTGAGTATCTCGTATGTCTGACCAAGGCCGTACCAGGCTCGATAGTCTCGGTTGTTCACCTCTGTAAGAAAGACACCACTGATTGATAACTCAGATATAGATACAATGAGTGAGTGAGTGAGTATGGTTTTACGCCGCTCTTAGTGATATTCCAGCAATATCACTGCCAGGAACACCAGAAATGGGCTTCACACATTGTACCCGTGTGGGGAACCGAACTCGGCTCTTCAGAGTGACGAGTAAACGCTTTAACCACTAGGCTATCCCACCGCCCCCAACAATGAACAATGCTACAATGTTACCATGTTAAGACAATGAAGTCATAAAGAGTAAGTTTATTAACTGCATTTTTAAGCTGTATCTATCATAAACAAGGCAATCTTATGTTAATTCATTTCCTGATGCTATGATATCCAATTTGAAAAAATTGCCCCAAATTAATTAATTTTCCCAGCACTCAATCATGTAATCATGAATTACTTAAGATCTCATCTGTCTACAAGGGTCAGTAATAGGGAACACACTTCACAGTGAGGAGGTCATTTCTGTACTGCAGTGTGAAATTCAAAGGTAGAATTATATTTGGCTGAATAATAGTATATAAACCTATGGACAGTGTATGAAATAAGCCAGACATCAGGGCTGGTAACTTCAAAATGCTATGAGTCCAAAATGGATTTAACCAGACTAGACACCAAGATATGACTCAGATGTATATAGCATCTACATTTTTACCAGACCATCGGGCTGGCTAGCTCTAAATCTTGACTGTCCTTCTGAAATCTAACCCGTCTCGGGCAGTCGGATGGGCCTTATTTCACACACTGCTATGGATCTCACCTATAGCTTGTCTGTATGCCTGTATAGCTGCGATGTGTTCTTCATCTCCATAAACTCATGACCAATCAGAGTCGATTGGAAGTAGAGTATTGATTTCTCCCCGGCTGACAGATAGTTTCCTGGAAAATATCACCCAGATGTCAGGTACATTGAGCTACAGATAACTTTTGGGTCAGGGCTGTGTTCATCTGGAAGTAGAGTATTGATTTCTCACACCGCTGGGAACGGATTGTAAAAATATGATAGAGTAATAGTTTCCTGAAAATATCAACCCAGATGTCAGCATATACCTGTACATCACAGTACTATCATTTTGTGTGACAGGGTCTGAACATTCTGTTACACCTTGTACAAGAGAACCTAGCTTATCCTGACTTCCAATACCCAGAAACCTTGCCTATCACAATGTATTTATGTGACAGAATATACAAACTACATAAAATGCTTTTCTCTGGAAAACTGGTCTTCAGATGTGGACTTCAGCTATCCAACAGTGAAGAATTCACACTTTAGTGTCTCTAACAGCATGGCAACTACATTAATAGATGTTTGTTTTACAATTCAACATCGACAATGGTTTATCAAAGGGTATCAGGTGATCATGTGCAAATTAGTTGAATGGCTCAATCTTTTATTGGGCAAACATTGTCATTTGATGCCGAAGTGCAATCTGAGATGATAACATTAGTTAACTTGCAATGAAAACAGTGATCGAGTGTCTGCACAGTATGTATCACAGTCAACATGAAACCAATCTGTTAAGAGGAAACGAAATCCAGAGATAGTTAAGAAAAGGAAGGAAATTTTAGGGAACCGTTCATTTTTTTTAAAATTTAGGGTGGGGGTGGGGTGATGATGATTTTAAAGGGGGTCCTACCCATTTTGTTCTGGCGAGGTGGGGGTCAGCAACTTTGTAAAAATATTTTAAAATATGTTTAGACATTATGGGAAGGGGAGGGGGATTGTTTTTGTACATGACATTCAGGGGTGGGGTTCACTTAATTTGTACATAAATGTTAGGGGTGTCATTCAAATTGCACATGCTTCTCCATTAAAATCATCATCACCCTTCCCCACCCCCTGCCATAACTTATGAACGGTCTATTAAGAAGATATATAGATATCCAAAATGCAATAGTCCAGATAAGCAAGGTTAGACTGTACACACTAAAGGAAATGTAACCAACAAAAGAGTGAGTGAATGTTTTGTAAAAGTATTCCTGCTGTAATACTAGAAAAGCTTCACACATTGCAGAAGTATGGACAACCACACCCATGTCAGTTTAAGAAGTAAACACTTGTACCTCACCATCGGATAAAGTGGGTGGAAAGCAAACATAACCTCCAGTGACACTTAAACTACATCAACATGATCAAATGACCTTGCTCCAAGGGAGGTAATCTCACCTACAACACAGCATGTCTCCACCCTGTATTTGTCAATCTCAGTACACTTGTGTGCAAGGTTGGCCATCTCTGCTTGCATGTCCTACAACACAAATGTACTTAAAACAGATACTGAAATATTCGGATAATGTAAAACATAAATGTCTTGAACATGAGATAATTACTTCAATTCATGACATTTTCAAATGTGACGATGTTATTTGTACATGACTACACCAATAAATGTGCTGACATAGTGACTTATCACTAAGTACTAGAACCAGATGTCAGGACTATATAACCAGATTTCTACCCAATCTTCCCTGATTACTAATTCCACAAAAATGTTCAAGCTCTTTGTGTTCAAGTCCCTGCATGATCCAGCACTACCCTACATTACATCCCCAGGTGGACTCTGAGAACAAGACCATCACAAATGGTCAAGATACAACCTATAACTTCCAGTCCAGCTCTAGACATGATAACTGGTGCCCTGTGTGAAGAGTGAAATGTCGCCATCAAGGGTATTTCACTGACATCTTGCATTACAGTGTGACTGAAGACAGGTTAGAATTGTTGTAAGAGACGACTAACAAGATTGGATGGTCAGATTTGGTGTCTTGGTCATATGTCTTCATATCCGATTGAGTATACTGACTGACTGAGTTAAGTTTTACACTGCATTTAGCAATATTCCAGCAATATCGCGGCAGGGGACACCGAAATGGGCTTCACACATTGTACCCATGTGAGGAATTGAACCCGGGCCTTCAGTGTGACAAGCAAACGCTTAACCACTAGGCTACCGCTTTAACCACTAGGCTGATTGAGTAGATCAATGCTCATGATGTCAATCACTGGATTGTCTTTTCCAGACTCAATTAGTTACAGACTGCAATAACATAGCTGGAAAATTGCTGAGTGCAGGGTTAAACAACAAACAAACACATTAGTTCAACACTGGTCCCAACTAAGGTCCAGAATCAAGTTATAATTACCTTGACATACAGCAGGTTAGAGAAGATGTCCATATTCTCCACTCTGTAAGGGTCTATCTTCTGCAGCTCTGTGAAAGCTGTCACAGCCTGGTCTACATCTGTACACAGCAGGGATCAGAATCACACTACAGGACAGTCTTACTTGAAACAACACTACTGGCAAACAAGGATAAGTTGTACCGGTGCAGAGAACGCATTTACGAGAAGTAGGCGGTGCACGGCAATGAGCAAACCCATTTGGTCTTTGAAAGGAAGAGCAGATGTAGGCTAGTGCACTTATCCTTGTTTGCCAGTAGGGGGTTATTAGACAAGCAGTAATTAATATATTTTAGCTAGTGTATCAAAGACAAAACATGTACTGTATTACAGAGGTACAGATAAGCTGCATATCTGTGTAAATTCCTATTAAATCTATCATATTCAATGGCGTATAAGTACGCTTCAATTTTTGTAAATACTCAATAAATTTGATCTTGCATGTGTACACATAAAACTAGATAAAATAACTTAGGCATATTGAGAGGTTTTATTTCAGCACATGAACTTGGTAACTTGCGGTCTTTCTTATTGTATCTCATATTACAGATCAAATATAAATAACAAACACTGTATGCATGTGACACTGTATGTACCTCTCATATTGTGATAGGCGACAGCAATCTGGGAGACGATGTAGTTGCTCTTGCTGAAGCCAGTTGCTAGGAAGGTCTGGTAGACAGCCAAACCCTCCTCGTTCAGCTGCAGCTCCAGATAGGCGTGAGCCATGAACAGTTGTCTTACCCAGTGATCCGGTAAGCTTAATGACGACAACTGCAACATAGCAGGGCTTCAACCACTTCGAACAACATTTCAGTTAGCAGGTCAATTCATTACAATTACATATACACATATTTGTAATATCCATATCCTTAAGCATGCTCAGAGCACTACATTATAACTAAGTCAATTGATCTTACTGTCCTCCCTGGGAAGGGGCGGATCCAGAAGGGGTGCGGGGGTGCGCATCCCCCCTTCTAAGCTGAAAAAGATTCCCCAAGGAGCATTTCCCCCTAACCCTTGGACTTCATGATTTATGTGCATCCCCCATTCTCCAAAATCCTGGATCCACCCCTGCTGGGGGTATTCAACCAGGGCTGCCTGTGAAGGGCCACAAGGTTAACAATTACCATCTCAACCAGGGTACCCATTCACTGCTAGGTGAACACAGATAGACTTCAAACAGACCACAGCTTAAGGAGACACCACGTGCGCTACACTGATTTCATCGATGATCAACCACGGAATCACTAATGAAACCTGTATAGTCCTGTAATCTCTATACCCAAGATAGAGTGACCCAATGCCACCTCGTATGACACTGGGAGACATTAGATTGGTGCTGATAACATCAAGTTTGTTGTAAGTTATTTCATGTGATTAAATCATCAGTTAGCCATGTGATGACCACGAGATTCAGTTCAGAATGTTGATTCAACAATCTCTGATAAATGGCTTCTCTAAAACTTGCCAAAAACAAAGGAAACTGATTTCAAATTGACAAGTGAGATATCATTTATTAGAAGACATGCAAAATATGTGCTAACAAGAAGACAAAGTCATCAATATCCCCAGCAATGGCAAGATACTCTTCATGATTATGTCTACGAGTCTAAGTCGAACTTGTTGTCATGGAAACGCAAAAAATATTTTATTCAGAATTCCAAAACTACCAAAAGGCCCCAGTACACCACCAGATCTATCTATGTGCCAAGTTTGGTGAAGAAATATCGAACGGTTTTAGAGTTCTGCTCCGGAAAAGACAAATGTGCACAGACGGGCGGACGGGCGGACGCACGCACGCACGGACGGAGTCCATTTTTATACCCCCCGCAAAACGCGTTGCGGGGGATAAAAATAATACTGAGCACAGCATATGAAAAACTACAACACTCAGATATCAGACAGACCTCTGCCCTTACACTTCCTACCAGGTGTGACTGTGTTGCAGTGCATAGTAAAAACTCATTGTAAAGTTTTCTGTCTCACTTACTGAAGATACTGAACATGCTCTTACTGCAAGATTTTCCTATTGTCATTCATGATTGACCATGACTTCCTTACCGTCTCCCGGTCTGTGATGAGCATGGCCAGCTCCTGCCACGCCCCCCAGTGCAGTGGCTCCTTATTGACAGCCTCCACAAAGATATTCATTGCCTCCTTCTGCAAGTCCAGCTTTCTCAAGACAACCCCATACCTACAGGAGATAGTGGATAGTGACAATGACAAAGGTCTTCATCAAATGACATAACATAGTGGACATTGGGTTAGGTCACAGATTTTAAATATATGTGGGCCTAAGTGATGATCGATGCATAGATGGTTAACTGATGTTTATACATACTAGATGACATTCATTCTATACATCTGTACGTACCAAACTCACATTTCGTTGTTGCATAAAACCTGTGCAATTCATGAACAAATCATACGCTAATCAAATTGTACATCCAATTTTCCTTACAGGTATAAACCGAAGCCATCAAGTTCCTTGTTCACGTTCTTCTTGCTGAGGTCAGTTTTCAACACCTTCAGATTCTCATTGTCCACCGATTCAGAGGGACCTGCACCAGGAAGAGCAGTCATGTGACCATGGCAAACACTGACCATGACAACATTAAACTTTCATCTTTACATGCCTATTAAAACACACTTAGAGACTTGTATTGATCCTAGCATAGAGATGATAAACTATGGCAAAGCAGGTATCAATGTGCTTTAGTTAGGTGAGTGTGCCACCGATATCACTGTTGTGTTAATATCTCAGTGACCCTGATGTTGTCTAAGCATACAAATGACCTACAGGGACACTATTTAAATTATGATAACTGTGAATGAACAGCTGTCAAGAAGTATTCAAGGTATGTGTCCAAACCCTACAGATACATACATGGGGGGTCATTTTGATAAGCATTCTTACTTCTTTTATTGTGCCAAAAGCCATTACACTTTGGAAAAACTATATAACATTCAAAATACAAAAAACAAAACTACTATACATAGAGCAGTTTGTCATTTTTAGATGTCTTGGGGATTGAAAATACTCCATTTACTACAGTGTATACCTATAGAGTCGGATGCATTGTCTATCTTCCTCTTCTCATCAGCCAGGTATCTGGCGTACATATGGATGAAGTAAGCCTTGGGACTGGTGCACTGTTCCACAGCAAGGGCAGCTCGGTCATACTCCTTAAGGTCAAAGTATGTGGTAGCCAGTGTGTACTTGTCATACTCAGCCCAGTGGTCCTGACAAATAAACCAGGGCATTATGTTCCTGATCAGGCTTCAGTGTGGAAATATTGGGGGTTTGTACCAAAAACATATGAACTGTTGTACATGGTCGACTTTTGCCTTTTTTCTCATCTAAAGTGTTCATATATTTACAAATTGCCCAGTCGACTAGTACCTTTGTCCTAGGTTTGTTGTTGAACACATACAACATGATTCATTATATATGGCAGCATCCTGTAAATATTCAAGTTTGGACCACCAATCCAGTGATCCATATTGTGAGCAACAATCCATGATATCAAGTAACAAAGATATCATCTTGTCTTCTCTTACACAGGGCAGTAGGGTAGCCTAGTGGTTAAACTTAAAGCATCCGCTCCTGATGCTGAACATCGGGTTCGATTCCCCACATGGGTACAAATACTACAATGTGTGAAGCCCATTTCTGGTGTCCCCCTGACGTGATATTGCAGGATATTGCCCAGATAAGCTGCATATCCGGGTAAAATACTCATAGAAAATTTCAAATTACGCATTGAAAAAATAATTGTTGCGTACCAATTACGCATTTAAAATGTTAGATACGCAAAAAGTTTAAAACAAATGCGTACGGAATATATTTATAACAATCGCTTGCGAAATGAAAAAGACATAGATTGCTATCAAGTTGTACTGTTAGTATAGGATGAGTGATTTTTTATGAAATCATTTCCATTATATTTAAGTTGGTTTTGATTAGGTATGACATAAGGCAGAACATACCTGCTTAGTAAACTTACTCAATGACATATACTTAGGTGAGTAAAATGACTGAAATACGCACATATTTGAAAGCAGTGGGTAACGGAAAATGAAATACCCACTCCAAAAAAATACAGTGGGTACAGTACCCACATGAGCTAAATCTTATCTGGAGCTCTGAGGAATATGGGTAAAAGCGACATAAAACCATACAAACTCACACACTCTTCTCTTACAACCAGCACACAATCCCAAGAGGATTCATGGCTTGGAAATAAAGGAGGCTTGAAACTTTGAAACTATGAAAGTTTGTGACACATCCACCCTGGAAACCTGATTATGACAATGATGTTTAGTGGCCTCTACAAATGTTGAACTCCTGAGATTAGTAGCGTTTTGTGTCATACATTCAGGTGTTTTGCCCTGATCTGCCAAATCTACCCTTCTATAATATACTCTGTGTACACTGCAGAGGAAGGAAAACAAAAACAAAACTATACCTTGTGGAAAAACCAGGTGTATTCAACAACCCGTGACAACATATGAACAAAATAAGAATTGGTAACATTGGATCTGACTTTTGCAAAGTTTAGTTTCTAAATAAACATGATAAAACCATTGAGAAATCAGGTTAGTTGATCTGTCAGATGGAAACATTGTAGAGCCTGATCTTAAGACAATAAGATGTGATCATCCTAGACTAATATAAACTAAATGATACTTTCAACTTGTATATGAGTTGCATAACCTTAGCTATGATCATAAATATTTTACATTTACAGAGCAAAACCTGCAATTGAAATGATGGAATATATTTCTCCTCATAAAATAATAGTTTCGAATACTATTTTGTTCCGATCACTGCATCAGAATTCGTCTCCTTACATTATTGCGTATGTTTCAACTAAATCACCGGCAAACGTGTGCACAGCTGATTGCTATTTCCGGCTCTGTATACGAGACAAATACACATGGTAATCTTAATCCCTGCATATAAGACAATGCCCAACAAGAACAAATTAGAACTGAAAAGGTAAATACTAGTAATCGTGTCTAGTGATGTTTAATTGCAAATTTGACGTCTTTACTGACAAAGTTGTCTTCTGTTGTTTGATGTTTTAATTTGGCGTCTTTACTGACAAGATGTCGTTTTTCTTACCCCTGAAAAAATGTTTAACGAAAGTGTAACCCATAGATTAGCCGACCACCTCCTACAGACTGTTATTTTTGTCCTCACAATTCGGCTTATCTACAGTAACTCATAGTGGCAGTGTCTACGGTAACGGACAAAAGTTGTCCTATCCGGACAAATGAGTCGGTCCCAGGCCAGTCCGTAATAGACAGATTCCACTGTACTTGGATTTACCTGATGATCTGCCCCTTGCAAAGACTGCACATCGACTGACACCTCCAAGGCATGGGATAACTCTGCAGCCCTGAAACAACAAAAGCCATAAACAATTTTACAAAACAGTGAGTTACGGGTCATATTTTTGTGCCATTATAACATAATGTAAAGATCATTCCACACAGACAGTAAATGTATGTCAGATGCTAAAATGGAGACTTCTGATGAACCATGATTAACTATGATAAAGGCTTATTCGTGTCTAAATTGTTATTATCTTCTTTGGCAAATCTATTTCTAGGTTGGCTGGTTGGTTTGTTGTTTAACACAGCACTCAGCAATATTCCAGCTATATGGTGGCAATCTGAAAATAACCAAGTCTGGACCAGACAATCCAGTGACCAACAGCATGAACATTGATCTACACAATTGGGATACAATGACATGTGCCAACCAAGTCAGCAAGCAAGACCACCAGATCCGGTTAGTTGCTTCTCACGACAAGCATCGGTTACTGTAGTCCAGCATATAACTAGACGACTTTGCACTATACCAAGGTGGTATACTATACTTGGCTGGAATACGAGTTTATTCATTATGAACTTGAGTGTTGTGACAACTGAAAACCTACATGTAGAAGATAAGTTACCTATTCTGTCACTTCATTTTAAGTCAAATACTTGAGTTTTATAACTTAAAAAAATTTGTTAGTGTGTATTTGAGGTGTGTAAAAATATGACATATCACGATCTGCCATTGAAATACTACAGGGCTGTTTGAGTGTTTCTAGTTAGTGTTCAAAAACATCTTCACATACACCTTCAATTTTTATGAGGGGAATATACCATCAGGTGAAAGGTGTTTGCAAGTAATAGTAATAGTTTTATAATTTAAAAAAAATTGTTAGTGTGTATTTGAGGTGTGTGAAAATATGACATATCGCACGATCTGCCATTGAAATACTACAGGGGCGCTGTTTGAGTGTTTCTAGTTATTGTTCTAAAACATCTTCACATACACCTTTAATTTTTATGAGGGGAATATACCATCAGGTGAAAAGTTTTTGCAAGTAATAGTGATAGTTTTAAATTATTTTTTTTGTTAGTGTGTATTTGAGGTGTGTGAAAAATATGACATATCACGATCTGTTCTGATACGCCATTGGTGCTTGTGATGCTTGGAGTGTTATAGTTCTAAAACTTCTTTCTTTCTTGTTGATCTTAGTATTTGACAAAACTGGAAAGGTGTTTGCAAGGCTTTGTGATAGTTCTAAACTTTCTGTTCTTGAGGGTCTGTGACAGTGTCAGTTAACATTCTGTCAATGCCCATGTCCTCCACATGCAATAAGATATCTGAATTAGTTACTAATGTAAAAAATGTCTCAAAGTAATTTTTTTAAAAAGGACAGCTGATGTTAACATGTGTTCTACCGATAGTTTTATGCTCTTTAACATGTTTGGGGAGGGATGGCCGTGGTGTATCATTTATTCTTTCATTCATTCACATATGTTCTTTTCTTTTGTTCTTTTCTCTTAATTTCTTTCATTCATTCACATAAAATTCTTGCTCTTAATTCATTCATTCATTCATTGTAAAAATTCACCTATACAATACACTGGCTGAAGTACTGTTAAACGCGAAATGGGTTGGGCGCTTGGGACCGAACCAAGTCACTGTGTGCGTTGGTAGAGTATCCCTGATATGAACTAGGGTTACTGAACATCAATTCTAACCTGGATCTTCACGGGTCATATCTCTAGGTATTTAATACTACCTTTTCTGTGTATTACTCATGGTAGTAAAGACCAATGACTGACTGTCCCAAAGGAAAAGTCTGCCAATGTGCTCTGTAGGATAACAGTGCACTTCAACACACAAATGACGAAAAGGCAGGTGATATCAGTAAAGTGTCTGTAATCGGAGCTAATTAGCGCTACGGGAGCTGCAATCGGTAAACGGGGGTGGTAAATTGTACTCTGGTCAACGACAACACAGAATGTGTGAGGTGACAGCACGGAGTAGTTTGACTGACAGTGGATGGTTCTTCTAAAATATGATGTTCATTAATTACATCTCTGAGTCTTCGGGTTTTTCTTTCATAAGAGGTTATGCACATGCCTGGAAGGAAATGTCAAACTACCTACCATTTAGCACCATTGAGTAAACGCCGTTGAGAGCATTCCCTGTGTGCTATGATCAAATCTCTCTTTACTTTCGACAAATCACATCTTGTAATATCCGCCATTTCTAACTCGTTCCTGTAACTTCCGGTTACAGGGATACATAATTAATCTTTGTTTAATTTTACATCCAAACTATGGCTACTGACAAAAATATCCAAATTAAATACACACATAACTAGCATATACATATCAAATAACGAGTATTTAAAATGCTCCAGATCAACTAACAGTATTGCAAAATCAAATATATTCTCTGTTTAAATAACTGGTCCCTTTTCTTTTAATACGCATGCGCGAAAGTAGCGTACTGGGCAACAGGTTCCCGTTAGTTGTGATCAAATCTGCTCCCGAAAAATGTATCGCAAAGAAAAGCCAGTTGTGATCAAAGGTAGCGCGTCTTCTTTACCAAACAATCTTAGCATTCTTGCAACTCCAGAGAAGGGGTCCCTGAACTATGCTGTCGTGCACAAGTCGACTGTCAACCTGGTAACCGCTACAACTGACGGAACCACTGTAACTGGGAGACAAGTCGTTTGCAAGGAGCCGACCGCTACTCAAGGCAGCCCTTTCATTACCCAGGTGATGTTTAATATTTATCGGTTATGAATCATATCATACGTTTGAACTGCGTGACTGTGACTACTTGCACCGTAATGAGAGGTAATTCGACTAATCGCTAATGACAGTAATGTGTCAGCCCCACACCTACTGATTAGTGGTGAAACAGGCAATTTGAGTCTCAGGATATGCTCTTTCGCTGAAACTTTCAGTCACAGTTTGATGTGATGTCATCAAGACATTTTGCTCATGAACATGACTTCATTGTTGTTTCTGCCATTACAGTTTAAGACCTTGGACATCCCTTACTCTGTATTCAAGTGTAGCTGTAATGTTTAGGGTTATCATAGATTATTTCCATGATAATGTTTGTTTTTTGTTTGTGTGAGGTCAATATGTGTTTGAGAAAAGTGCGACCTGTCTGATAGTATGTTGTAAATGTGATCATCCAAAAACAACATTAGTTGTTGCTCATGCAATCAATCACTTGTTTAATGTGACCGCTTACATTCTGTGTTGCTTAAAACAGCAATCTCTAACCTTTTCACGTGTGCTCATGTTTAACAGGTAAAATGGATCATACTGCCAGTGAGGACGGTCCTGATATTGACGTCACAGAGGGGTATACAGGTAATATCCCTCATATTTTGTTGGTATAGATTACCGTTTATCTGCATTAAAACCATTTGTAATTTTCTGAATTAGGATGACTTAAATTTTTGTTTTTAAAAAGGGGGCATTCAGTTGAACAGGACTCAACTCCCACCCTAAATGCTCTTTTACTATAGAAGAATATGGAAAACAATCGTCATATTTTCAAAAAAAATGAGTCTGTTTAATAGTGTTAGCGTTTTAAATTAACCCATTCAACACCGCAGGCCGTTTAAAAGCGGCCACAACGTTATGAGTCCCCAGACACCGGAGGCCGCTTAAGCGGCCAGGCAGTAGTCACGTCAAAATGAGACATAATTTTAGGAACTTACTTATGGTTCATATATTAAATCCATCACATTTCACAATGTCTGAAAACACTTATTAAATTTCAATTGATCATATATTATCGGCAGAATTAAAATTATAGACTATTTTTCGCAATGTTATTGAAAACAACGATTCTCGGACACATGCTTCGGCAGCGGGTCCACAATAACATTGGTCAAAAGAGCAAAATAACGATGTTTCGAGGAAATTATTAAATAAATTGAATAAAGTAATGAATAAAATCAACAACAGCATTCATAAAAGTTGTCAAGCGATATATATAAAATTACTATATCCATCTTTTTGTGCGATCATGTAATGCAAGTCAAGTCACTGACAAGTGACATCTAAATCTCGCCGCCTCAATCTTCCTTTCCGGACATGATGTTTAATCACGAAAAAATATGCATGAAGCATTTTTGTCACAGGTCATAACCTAAGCGATCGTCCAATAAGTCCCATAATTTCACGTATATGTAGCGATTTCTTGCTTAATATGTTCAGAATAGCATTATTTTACCCCAAAACATGCGTCTAAATCTAAAAGTTTTTACGTTTTCACGAGGGGACGGTATCCATTGCCGTAATATGATTGGCTGCCTTAGGTCACGTGTCTGTTTTTTGACTAATCACGACCCTTATAGCAGACTGTAGCGAAAGCGTCATTAGAAACCAATCTTTATCCAATAAAATCGCTTCCTTCAACTGTGAAAATACTCTTGGCAAGTGTACAGTGATATTGTTGATGTTCAGAGCTTTCGAACGATACCCGCGACATCAAGCGATTTGCCTCGCATGTTATTCATCACGAAGCTTCAAAACCGAGGTATTTTCCGTTTTGTCTCCCTGTTACCGGCCGAAAGCCACTGATATCGGGGAATAAGCGACCATACATATTATTTAAGAAATCTTTTATAATAATTTTTCTGATTAAGTGAAAATGAAAATATGAAAGAAAAGCAGCGGGCATATTATGACATGTCACAAATGGAAAAAATCGCCATAGTTTTGCTTCTTTTCGTGGCTTATCTGGACATTATAAATGTAAACTTGCATTTTCATTAAAAATAAATTTATCTAAGTTGTAGTTGTATTAGTTGAATTATATTATAAAATAAACTTCATATTTATCAACAGTAGGATTAGATCTTTTTAAATGGTGTATGAGATGTAGTAGTAATAGCGTTTTACAAGCTTATAATTTCCTTCATAAACATAGGCTTCATCTGTGACCTTAGGAGTCTCTGGGAACTGCGGTGTCATGGCAGTAAATGCCTCTGGTTGACTAGTGTTGAAAGAGTTAAGTTGTACATGTAAATGCTATGTTCATCTATAACATTTTGCAATCAACAGACATCATAACATGTCATGTGTTCAAGTATCACACCTGCCTGTCTGTGTAATTACATAATGTGTCAGAGACCGAACTCGAGGGCCATAAATCAATGCATTTTGTATATGGTGTTTTGCCTGATTGGTGTTAAGTTCAAATTGCATGTGGTCAGTGATCGCGGTTGTGTATTGAATATTGTCATTAGCGGACAGGCAGGCAGCAGACACAGGTGTCAATAAAACAAGACATTGAGTTTTGTCTGTGACAGCGACATATCTATATCACAGTTAGAAATTATTGTCAGCGCTTAAATAATGACATTGCTTTTAAGTATCGAACTGAGAAAGTGACTTCGATAAGAAGAGCGTGTGGTGAAATAGACAAATGAAATTATATAAACAGTTTATTTACTGTCATAACATATAAAAAGATCGCAGCGCCTGTGAGATATCAACAAAACATTAGAAAAATAGGCTCACGCAAAGCCTTCACCGAAAGTATTCACCAGACAGCCCGCTTCCAAGTTCTTGCTGAACCTATTTCACTCGGCGCGGCTATGGCGCAGCCCAGCTGTTGAAACCCGTATTATTCCCCAGAAAAGTCTGGGGAAAATTAGTGAAACGTTTGAACTCCGATTTCACGCGTTTTTTGTCATCGCGTTATTTTTCAACTTTGTAAGTTGAATTTGCATTTTTGACGATTTGTTTCGGTACGTCCATACCGGAAGGTATCAGAATCTGCAAAGTTGTGTTTTACGTTGCATGTGACCTTTAAGTCTGGACTAGTACAAGCAGCCGCACATACACACGCATGCACATCATCATATGAGTGAAATATTCTCAAGCATGACGTTCAACCAAATTTCACCTCACCTCACCTTAATGTGACAGCTTACATTCCGTGCTGCTTAAAACAGCGATCTCTAACCTTTTCACGTGTGCTCATGTTTAACAGGTAAAATGGATCATACTGCCAGTGAGGACGGTCCTGATATTGACGTCACAGAGGGGTATACAGGTAATATCCCTCATATTTTATCTGTATAGATTACTGCTTATCTGCATTAAAAGCATTTTGTAATTTTCTGAATTAGGATGACTTAAATTTTTGTTTTTAAAAGGGGGACATTCAATTGAACAGGACTCAACTCCCACCCTAAATGTTCTTTACTATAGAAGAATATGGAAAACAATCGTCATATTTTCCAAAAAAAAAGTCTGTTTAATGGTGTTAGTGTTTTAAATTAAGATAGCCACATGTAAATAATATGTTCATCTATAAGAAAATATTACAGTTTCTTAATGCTGATGTGCTGATTTGATAGCAAATGGATGAAAACACATTTATGTATTTCTGTCAATTTCCTATGACTGACCATAATAATGTTTCTTTTGACTGTAGATGTTTGAGCCTGATGGTTCCGTCATGATATACTGGCATGCTCTCAGTGACTGCATGGGTAAGTTTACATGTAACAGTCTTATTATAATAAGATGTGTTACTCTGATATGATACATGTCTGCATGAAGATGTGAGGATATCTACACAGGAGATCACTTCTGTTGAACTTTCTCACCAGCCAGTGAGGCTTCTTATTCTTGGTATAAGTGAGCTGTTTCTCATTAATTTGTCTGACTTGTCTATCTCAAAAATGGAGAAGAATGACTGAATGAGTTCTGAATGTATGAACACTAAGTGCTTTTAAAAATGGTCTAAATGTAAGAAATGTTATATGTGGGATTACACTTTCTCAACTAGACTGCTGACTGTGTGCTGGTGATTCGGTGCCTGACTCTGAGAATGGGGGTTTGAATCCTGGATGGGTGCAACCCAAACCTAGTACTAGAATATGTCATTAACTGAGAAAGTGTTATCATAGATAGAACATATGATAACTTCCGAGTGTAGATACTAGAAGACAATCCATTTTGGCGTTGTAGATGTTTTATGCACTACTGTCATTTCTGAATTGTGTGACAGCTACACAAAAGGGTGCACTATTGTGTGCTTGTTTTTTTTGTGGGTTTTGAAATGTCCAAATGCAGACTTCCAAATTCTGATGTATAAAAATGTCAAACTTTTTTAAAGCTTACATGCATAACAAGTGCATTCTTCATTTAGCTTTGTTGGTCAAAGTTCACTCAGGCTTCACTTGTCTTAAAGGTGACATCAGGTCTCCACATGAAGTCTGAGATGTTGTATTGGAACAAGTCCAGTTATATCATTCACAGCATCATCATAATAATTATGTTTTTTTTGAAGAATCATTGTATCCAACTAACAAACCATCAAACTTGCATCGTGGCCTAAGTGGAGACGATATATCCCGATACTAGTTTAATGAGGCGAGGCGATATATATCATGAAAACATTACCAGTGCTTACTTATTGATTTCTTTGAGTAAAATTGGCCAAGAAAACAAATGACCCTGTGTTTACTTAGCAATATTGATCCCAAAGATGGCAGACACAAACAAACTTTTAGGTTCGGGTTTGTTTTAAAATTCAGAAAAATTTCAAAAGACTCCCTTCCTATTACTTTATGTAATACTCCCTACAACTTGAATCAAGTAATATTTAAGTTGTATCGGGATATCGAGACTGTCTCTGTTGTGGCGATACATCGATGTATCATGGACCCTCGCCATATAAATATCCTAATATGTTGCCTAAGCGCGTTTAAAATCGATGCACTTGTTGTTCTTTGTGGAGGGCGGTGGGAATGCAAACATCGTTACTATCGATGAATCGTTACACCACTAATTACCAATGCTTTTTGAAATTTTTGAGTAATTAGGCCTCCGAAGATCTGGGTTAGAATTCATCTTCAGTGACACATGCTTGTCCTAAGAGGCAACTAATGGGATTGGGTGGTCATGCTCGCTGATTTGGTTGACACATGTCATCATATCCCAATTGACTGATGCTCTTGCTGTTGATCACTGGATTGTCTGATCCAGGCTCGTTTACTTACAGACCACCCCCATATAACTCGAATATTGCTGAGCGTGTCGTAAAACTAAACTCACTCACTCTTTGAGTAATTTGACCCAGAAAAAACCAAATGACCCTGTATTTCTTAGCAACATTGATCCCCACTGAATCAGGTGAACTCGAACATTTCTTACATGAGTACAACCTGATATCATTGAACATTGTTCATATTATCAACCTCCTGTTGGACCAAGAGCAAATGTTTTACTGGTGTACTGGCAGTGTGATGTGCTTTATTTTGTGTTCAATTGTTACTTCTGTCGGTGTTACAGATTTCTGTATGGCAGGTTTATGTGTATCCACCTCATTGTTCATCAATAATTCTTAAACTGATAGTCTTCTTTCTTTCCAGACAGCAGCAATTTTGGTCGTGGCATCTCAGGAGTTGGAGATAACTTGATATGTGTTGGTAGGTGTGATATGTTTGCATTAATGAAATTATTAATTACATTTTGGTTTGTTGCCATACTCTTAATATGATACAGTGAATGCGTCTCAAACGTCATAATTTACAAAGGGAATGTGTTACCTGGAAATATAAAACTTGTCAATTTGAGTCAATAAGAAGGCCTGTTATTTCAAATTGTATGACTTATGTAAGCAACATTGATAGTGACTGTTAGTGTAGCTGTTTCTAGTGTCTGTTAGCATAGCTAGATGAATTCTTGCAGCCCATAACTTTCTTTTACTTGTGATTAGTACTATGTGAATGTGATACAATTCTTTTTGCAGGGACAGAAAGTGGGCTGATATTAGTGTTCAACATGCCCCCCAAAGGTACAAATATCACCTATCAGGAAGCTCTCAAAGGTTGGTATGCTAGTCTGTTCTCTTTGAAAAAATTCAAATATCTTGTGCTTAGATATTTGAATCAGAATTGATGTGTATTTGAGTTAGACTGCATCCAGACAGACTCCTGTATGAGGGAGGCAGCACATTTGTCACCAAGGCAGGGGTACCTCAATTATTCTGCGGTTTCCCTTGGTCTTTCCAGGAAATGCTTGTTGCAGATTTGAATCCTAGATTCACGCGTACCATTGGTTACATCCACACTGAAGAACATCAGCAAACAAACTGTGAAAAGAGGCAGTAGATTTGATCTTATGTTTGACAATGGTTGATCCATAGTTGAAAATGTCTACTTCGTGCATTTCAGTGTGGTAGCCTTGTTGGGAAAGCGTTTATTTGTCACATCAATGACCTTGGTTCAGATCCCAACATGGGTACAATGTGTGAATCCTATTTCTGGTGTTAGCACCATGATATTGCAAGAATATTGCTAAAGGAGGAGTAAACCCAAACTCACTAATTCACACCTCGCTATGACCTGAGCAGTATATCGACCGCCTTCGTAGTGTAGTGGTTAGAGCGTCTGCCCAGAGTGCGGAAGGTCGCGGGCTCGATCCCGACGCGTCATACCAAAAGACGTTAAAATATGGTACTTGTTGGTCCCTGCCTGGCGCTCGGCATTAATGGGTACAACAAGGACTGATCGGCTCGGAGTCAGTATAATATGTCTGAGTGGGGTATTCATGCTTCACTGCGGCATGGTATCTCAGTGGGCTAGCACTATAGAACTAGCTTAAGTCTGGGCTAGTTCAAGCAGCCGCACATACACACGCCTGCATGTGGTCATATGAGCGAAATATTCTCAAGCACAACGTAAAACCCAATTTGACCTCACCTCACCTGATCAGTATATCATGTTTTCAGGGCACACATGTGCCATCTGCGACCTGGCCTCCGACAAGGACACGATGGTGAGCGGGGACGAGAGGGGCAGTATCTTAGTCTGGAAGGCCATGGGGCAACAGCTGCAACAGACTGTCAAAATCACAGGAGGCGGGTAGGTGGCAACATTCCAGAGATGTATTTTTTTGGTCAAAACTACAGTCGAGGACAGATGTTTCTGTTTTGTAGGAGACTCCACTTGTGACATTAGTCAGTCCTAGCCAGATTGTTTGCCAGTGTGTGTGATGTGATATGAAGCAGTTGTTTGACAGTGTGTGTGATGTGATATGAAGCAGTTGTTTGCCAGTGTGTGTGATGTGATATGAAGCAGTTGTTTGCCAGTGTGTGTGATGTGATATGAAGCAGTTGTTTGACAGTGTGTTTGATGTTGATATGAGGCATTTGTGTGACAGCATATTGTTTTTGGTCAGGAGCCCGTGCAGCAGTATAGCACTCTGGCGAGGCATCATCGTGGGCGGATATGGCTCGGGGCATCTACGTGTCTACAGTGCAGCAAGTGGAAAGATAAGTGCAGAAGTCACCGCACATGCTCGATGGATTAATGCAATAGATATTGCTCGAGAAAATGGAATGGTGAGTTGATATGAACAGCCAACCGACCAACCGCTCTCTGGGCGACACTCTATCCACTCGATGACAAAGACAGTTATTCTTATTGTAATATATTTTATCTGATACAACAGCACTAAGTGGATGGAACAAGGGTTGTCAGCCAGGAGTCAGTACACTGTGCCTGTGTTGGATGTCCATGTTAAACCCTGACTTTGTATCAAGTGAACAATCTCTAAAGCTGATATAAGTTCGGGCTCGCCCAAGCCCCCATGCATACAAATGCTCATCACTCAATGTATGCACTGTATAATCTTGAACACAATGCTGAACAGCATTTCATATCTCCTCAGAAGCAAGCTTTGATCAAGAAGTCCAAAGTTAACTGTTGAGAGTGAAATATTTCACTTGTTTGTTCCGATGATCCCAGGGTTAGAGAATGTTCTATCTGGGGATGTGTTTTATCTGTTTCAGTTGTTGTCCGTGAGTGATGATGCATCTTATCGGGTGTGGAAGCTCACAGAGGGAACAATGCCACAGGTAGAATTTGTACCATTGCTTCGATATTTTGAGTAGACCTGTAATTGTACACATACACTGTGTTTGGACATAGTAGGCTTACTCTCCAGTACACAATCAGGCTGTTCTTGTTTAAAGACATACTCAGCAATATTTCAGATATGGAGGCTACCTGTAAATAATTGTATTGGGACCTGACACATTTGTGATTCGTATCAAGCATGGACCCACATGCTAAGGTTATGATGGCTCAAGTCACCACCTGACCTCCATTTGGTTGCCTCTTATGATAAGCATGATTTGCTTGTAAAGATTGGTAATAGGAAATATTGTCAAGGGGAAGAATAATTAATGTTATTATCAATATGTAAATTATGGCATGGATGATATCTTACATAAACTTTTGTGATGAAATATAGTTTTATTTTACTCACACAATACACACAGTTAAGTCTATATTTAAGGGCTGCTTCTAACTTATGTTCAGGAAGTCTTTTTGTTAGTTATCCATTCTTAATTATTTCGGTACGCATCAGTGATGAGAAATATGTTGACTTCTTTCAAGGTTTTTGTGGCTTCTCCGATATTTATCAATAATCGATCCATATTTAATTACCGATTATCAATCTGTATTGTCCAGGGGTGGAAATAACCCATTGCCAGGCCCGAGTCCAGTGTTTTTTTTCTGTCGGGCAAGCAAATTTGTATATCACACTGTACCGGTGTCCAGTTGACTTTCCAATATGAATTATGTTGTTTATTTAAAAAAGCAACCAGAAAAGGGCCGGTATAGTGGAAAAATTATCAGGGCAAGTGATTTTACATGTGCCACTGTACCGGAGTACACTAGCAATTTTAAAGTTATTTCCACCCCTGTTGTCAATATTGATACCCAGCACTGGCTAGTTTCTTAGTAAGATGATGTGAAACATATGTATGGAGGTGAGATGGACTTCACTATTAATTCAAGTTGGCCTTTGTATATATTTGAACTTGCTTTTCATGTTTGTATATGGATCTAATGTCATTTCAGATTCAGTACCGGCACTCAGACACAGTGACTGATGTACAGCTTGTCGGGGGGCAGTTTGTTGACGGTCAAGGGAGAGCACTCTGTCTCACCGGCTATGACTGCAGTGAGATAGTGTTCTTTGTCCAGTGCTGAGCTCGACACTGTCAGTCCAGTATTATTGCTTAGCTTTAGTCCGGTGTGCAAGTAGATGTCCCATCTGTGAAGTCCCATCTGTGCAATTCCACACAAGAAGGAAAATTTTGTGAGAGAGATATTTCTTTGGTTATCTGGTGTCATATTGTTTGTTGTAAAACCTGTTGCGTACACATACAGTATGCCATTTGTATGTATAGTGTAAGAGAAATCATGTAGAAATGAGCTCAGTCTCACTGAGAGAAGATTTTATTGATTGTTGCTGCTAAATAAAGATCTGAAGACATCCCATTACAGGTCATGTCAGGGTGACCTTTCAGTAGACCAATCAGAGTGACCCTTATTAGATCAGGAAAGTGTCAGGGTGTATTTTACAGAGATTTCCAAGTGACAGTTTTCGACTACAACTGATTCAGTTAGTGTCATTATCACTATCTCAATTCTCAAATCAAATGTGGTATGTGAATCTGAAACTATAGCAGTAGCAATGAAGAGTAGACATCCACACAGGTATCACAGGTGTTACACAACAAGTAGTGACATTTGTGCAATGTATTCTCATTGTTCTGAACTCTTGTAGGTTCCCACTCACTGTTTTAGTGGCAGAAATAAAACATAGTGACTACAAAGTGGCCTTATATGTTCATAAATGATGGCGGGTCAGCCTAGTGATTAAAGCGTTCGCTCATCACACCGAAGACCTGGGTTCGATTCCCCACATGGGTACAATGTGTGAAGCCCATTTCTGGTGTCTCCCACAGTGATGTTGCTGGAATATTGCTAAAAACGGGATGATGGCATGTGCAGAAAATGCTAAATATTGATGCTGGCATTTGGGATCTTGTCACTGTATCAGCTATGAGTACCTTTTTCGTTGCAGTTGCCATGGTTGCAACATCTGATAGTTTCCATGGCTGAAGTTACTGGAAAGACTGAAATACTTTCTGAAGACTTATTGTTCTGTTACCATGGTGTCATCCTCACAGGATGTCTTTAACATCCGCTGAAAGTGTAGAGCACAGACAAATAACCTGTTTTCGTAGTAATATCATAACTTTTTCTGGACCTAATTTCCTTATGTATTTTGTCATTGCACAAACAAAATATTGTTATCAAATGTCTAGCGATAAAACCCTAATTGATCCTGAAGAAGAAGTGTGACTGTTCATCATGTGTTGGCGTGTTTCTGGCAAAAGGGTGAAAAATCCGAAGGGGTTTATTTTCAAAATTCCTGAAGAAGCATATACTATGGATATAGACTGATGGGGGACTTTTATGAGCTCTTAAGTGAGAGCCTGCCCCGCTCTTAATCAAGTTGTATGTCTGAATACTGCTTCTGATTACCTATTAGAGATTTGGTAGCCCATAGGATCAGCTAGTGTTGTTAACCCATTTCTTTTGCATCTAATTGGGTTGGTTACTTCCCATGGAGCTGAGATTGGAATATGAATATATACTGAGATGTTATATGCTTTCCACATGCTCATATATTAATATAGTAGTTCTAAGGCTATATAAATGGACATTTTCCGTTATTAATGTATTGTTTCTATGAATCAGTGTTTTGTCAATGGGGATATTAACAAGGAAAATGGTGTTGAATATTGTTTACAGAAACTGTGATATTTAAGTGTTATATTACAGCAAGGGTTGTTGATGTTGTAAGTGTTGTATGTGAATCTCTGTGGATTGGATGATAATATTTGTTTCTATTATCAGTTTTGTACTTATTTTCTTTTGTCATTTTGTCTAGTGACATAACTTTTTCAGTTAACGAGAAACACAGAAAAGTAATGTCCAATTCCTTGATAAACTAATCATGATTAACTCACCAAATGATATTTTAGTGTCTCTTCACCATCCCATAGTAACCATATATACTAGTAAACCCTCATATGTGAGGTATTACTGAATTTGTCTACATTGCAGCATTATATACCAAAACTATAAATGCAACATCTTGTTTCACTGTATTTTAATGTTTTAAATGCAAACAGTGTTGGAGAGGAAACGAATCTAAAATGGATTATTATGAATTTGTTTATGTTTATGCCTTTTGTTATGATTTATAATTTTTTTAATATCAAACTGATGGTGTGGTGGACCAGTCATCTGTGACACAGCAGTTCTTTGTATAGAGTTCCGTCCCTTAGATGTGACAGAATCCAGTGACATGGATTCAAACCTCAGAAAACCACCGAAAGTTATATACCATGATATAACTAGATAACTGTTCAAACAGCGGTAGATTACTTAATCACAACTCACTGGTCCGATATTTACTTAAACTATGAATAACATAGTAAATCTCTGATCCTCAGTACAGATGTTACAAAACATGGTTGTGAAAATCCTCCTCGCATAAAATCAATAAGTTGTCCAAACTGTTTAGATTTTGGTTAAGTTATATTTTTTCACAGCCATTTTTCTCGTCAAATCTGAGTAGTGACGTTTAAGTACATGTAGTTCAATGTCATACATCAAGCAAACCATTCTCGTTAGTTATAGGGTAGCTGTGTGGTTACAGCATGGTTGTGCAATGCCAAAGGCCAGGTTCAAATCCCCACATGGGTAAATTATGTGAAGCTCATTTCTGGTGTAGTCCATTGCTCTTCCCTGCCATGATATTGGTGAAACATTCCAAAAATGGTGTGAAACAATACTTACTCATTTCTAATAATTCACAAACATATATATTACAATATTCAATATTATATCCTGTTAATCAGACATTTTTTACCAATGCATAATTTTAATAATGATGTGTCCCACCAACATTGATACCAGATTTGTATACAATGTATACTTCACGTTGCATCTTGTTTATCGCTCTAACAGTGTTACGCCCATTTCTGGTGTCCCCCGCCGTGATATTGCTGGAATATTGCTAAAAGTGGCGTAAAACTAAACTCACTCACTCACTCTAACAGTGTTATATCATTCAGATATAGTGTGTTTGACAGTTCAGTGGTTCTCATCTCAGATTCATCATTATCCATGGTCTGTAAAGATCTTTGTCATGCTTGTGGGACAAGTGCAGTTGTAAATGTCTAAAACCTGTGTTACGATCCACATCCTCCTACAGGCTGACATTAGGTATCTAATTGAAGTACTGGGAGAGCAGAATAAAACGTCTCAGCCACTCTCCTTCTAGGATCCTCTTGTTGTTGTGGACGATGTAAAATATTGTTACCTAGCTCGTCAGGGTTAACTCTTGTGCAAGACAAGAACTGGGATAATGACAATATCAAGTGTTAAGTTCATGTTTTGGTTTACATTTATAGTGGGAATTATGATTTAAATTAATGTTCATAAATGTTTCTTTTTTCAAGTACAGATAAACCATTGGGTCCTTGCACTACACAACATGTCTTGCTGGGTGTTATTGGTTTGCATAAATTTGGTAATAAACTATAGTGATCATAAGATTTGTCAAAATTTATTATAAAATTCAACAATAACAATGAAATAGTGATTATGTTAGAAAAATAATATATGTCTTGTTGTTAAAGTAAAAAATGTCCGTTCATGGTTCCACTGTACCAAATAAAGACAGCATAAATGTAACTGCCTACTAACCACAGGCATGAGGACAACGATGTTGAGTTACGCCAGCAAAGGGGTATATATTATCCAGTTCAATCACTGTCAATAAACTTGAAATGAGCATGAGTCTCAAAGGGACCAAACACATTTTTATTACTTTATTTTTTTCTGACTATAGTTGGCACTGATGTAATTAGGTAAAGTTCTTATCTCACAATAGTTTAGTTGTTTTCCACTGATGACAACCAGTTGCGGTATTACTGGGCAATATGTGATGTCAATATCAAGGTGAGGGCCAGATCCTCATATTTGGGGGATGTTTTAGCTTTTCCTTAAATCATTTCAGTTGGTAGTGAATACAGGAAGCTGATCATTTTAAGGAATTAGTAGTGTTTAAGGAATTATCATTGTTTAGTATACAAGATATAAATGGTTTGTGTGTGTGAGCTGTGATTCCTCTTCATGAAATCTTTCAAATTTGCACTGAATGCTCCAAATTGTATCTGACATATCAAGGTACATGATGACTATTAGCTTCTCAGGGTCTTAGATTTTATGATTATACATCACAATGACCTGGAAAATAGCTGACCATCATAATTAATGTGAAATGGTAAGTTACCAGAGTGTGGAGATCAGGATGATGAAGTTAATGTGTTTGTACTGAAGATTCACTATAGATAATTTATTTACGAGAATCAACTACGGACCATTATCCAGCCCATTGGTTGAGATAGTCTTTGTGTAATATATCACATGAATATATTGGCCTTCCTGTTAAACCTTCATGGGATGAACCAATGCTTTTGTGATTTACATATTGTCCAGGGCAAGATACAGGGCCCCGTTTCACAAAGCTATCGTAGCGCTACGACTGTCGTAAGTCTATGCTACAGCATAGGAGGTACGATTCCTACGAGAAAAGTTACAAGATCTTAGGCTTACGAGAGCTTTGTGAAACGGGGCACAGGTGAGGAAACTATTATGTTCAGTGTTGCTCCATAACTCACAAATAGATGAGTTAACAAAAGGTTTCTGGAAATAATTATTGTCTTATGCAGGAAAATATTTAAAATGCATTTAGACTGGCAGCTAATTTTGTACCTAACAAAATATATCTGGAAATTTTAAAGTGAGTATATTTGCAATGATGCATAGAATTATATATATTTAGCAAAGTTGTTCTTTTTAAGTATGTTGAGCAGTTTTATGGCGAGCTCACCTGTCAGTCAATGGTTGATTTTTCAGACCTCATTGTTATCGATAATGTCTACAATGTGTTTGTTAGCTTCTGTTTTCTATGATGATAGTGTTCGTTGTTATCAAGTGGCAGATGCTCACGTGATCCTAAGTGACTACGCCATGTGTTTCCAAGGAGAATTCTACAAAGCCGTCCACAGTATGATGTCAAAATAAAGTAGCAATTGCAACATACCTTGAGTTGTTTCATTCTTTACTGCTATGTGTTCTGGGGCAGACTGGAACACCTAACTCAGAGGAGAACACAGGCCGTGTGTGGTCTGAATTATCAGTAACAGTTCTTAACAACAGGGGGAGGTGGGGTAGTCTAGTGGTTAAAGCATTGGCTCGTCGCGCTGAAGACCCGGGTCCGAATCCCCACATGGGTGCAATGAGTGAAGCCCATTTCTGGTGTCCCCTGCCGTGATATTGCCGGAATATTGCTAAAAGCGGCGCGGCGTAAAACCAAACTCAGTCAGTCAGTCTTAACAACAGACTTTCAACAGAAACAGAAGAGAGTGATAGAGAGAAGGGGATGCGATTGGGAAGGGGGAAATATATGGAAATGAGAGATACATACGAGAGCTGGCTGAAAAGTTCTAAACCTAACCATGAAAGACCTGTACAAAGTCTATGGTTTCCATTTATTTGACTACATTTCCCCCTTCTAGGCGTACACACTTTTGCTAACGATGTTGCAAGACCTGGATGCCGGTCAGGAAGACATTTACTTCTGCCAACCTGAAAAAGTCGTCCACAGCTGACATGACGTCAACATTACTAGGATAATGACGACCAGCTAGTTCCTTTTTCAGTTTTGGAAACAGGAGGAACTCTGACGGGGCCACATCGGGTGAGTAAGGTGGGTGGTCAATGGGTTCGAAGCCACAATAATGGATCGCTGACATGGCCACCACCGATTTATGAACAGGAGCATTGACTTCGGGGAACAGGACACCATTGACGAGCATTCCGCGTCGCTTAGGTTTGATAGCTTCACGCAGCTTCCATTGATAGTCTGGCCTTTTCTGGTCTTTTTCAAGATAGTCAATCAGCAGAATACCCTTGGAATCCCCAAAGACTGAAGCCATCACCTTTCAAGCAGAAGGTACGGACCAACTTGAGGCTCTTTGAGGCTGGCTACTCAAAATGCTGCCATTAAATTTGGGGCTCTGGTGAATCCAGGTATCATTCATGATTACGAATCTGGCCAAAACATTATCAGGATCTGCTTCAAAACGGCACAAGTTGTCACGGGACGTCAGGAATCTGACACGTTTCTGATCAGCAGTCAAGAACTTTGGCACTCATCTTGCAGAAACTTTTGTCATTAATAACTCGGTGGTAATGTGCTCAACCCTTCCATGAGAGATACCCACAACTCTGGCAATATGGCGAGTGGTCAATCGT